CTTGATACTTAGTTAATATAATAGATATCTGAATTTCCCAGGAAGTTTACGCTAACAAAAGAAAAAGGGTTCGATAAGCTAGTAGTTCCAAAATTGTATTTAAAAAATCCAAATTATGAAATTAATTATTATAATTATGAAAAGTTTCGTAATAGGTCCAGGTAAGTTCAAATAGGCATTTGAATGTTTTAGATAAATGTTAAGGAATTTTTTGTACTTAAACCTAACCAGGTTTATAGCTATTTCTGTTTCTGTCTAAATTCTGATATATAAATATCTGTCGTCTTTCAGAAATAATTGCTTCTTACGCTGCTATTACAAAGAATTTGGAAAAATATCTGTCAACATATTTAATATTAAGCATCTTGCAAATATACGAAATCTTTCGAAAATTGTTTATTTAGATGCTTTAGAACCACAGGTAGTAATTATTTAATGTCAATAGTATTGATGGAGATATTGGCTTAAAGCGAACAAACTGATGGACCGAATATATACTATATAACGTTATAAACTATGTAACGGGACGTCAAAAACATATTAATGTTTGAATTGAATGGATTAATAACAATGTTGTCTTCAATAATATTTAATATTAATTGCTTTAGTTGAAATTGAAGTAATAAACTATAAGTAACACTCTCAAAACTGCAAAGTTTTGAAAAGTTCGAAAGAAGGCTCAATATGAATTTATTTGTTTGCGAATATTAAAAACGTTTTCTTTGTAGTTAAAGCAGTTTAAAAGGTTTCATTAAAACGTATTTCTCTAATTTAAGCCCATTATTTATTTAATTTTTCCTTGAATCAGCAATTTGGTATTTTCCTTTATCAAACCATTTAATCGCATTAAAAACTAAATGAACTAAATACGTTTTCTTTGTGCCATTCACGTTGTCTGTGAGTCAAAATAAATTCCCAACTTAACTTCCTGTGCATAAAATATTTTGTTTCCTTTTCAGCATTTAACCGTTAAGCGTATTATATATATAAGTATTTGTTCCCTCTTGCTATATGTAAATAAAGTATATCTTTTATCTTCAAAATGCATTCAACTCTGAGTCAGTGAAGTTAAGTGTTTTTTGCATCGCCTTGTTCTTTGCTTTACCAATTTTCGATTTGTTTATTTTTTATGCCTTGGCTTTGTTTTATTTGTTGTTGGTTTTGGACGCGCCAATTAAATTGCATTAAAATGCAAGAATCGCACATTAATTTGAAATGCTTGTATGCATGCAGATTTCTGGAGATTATGGCTCTGCTTATTCATATTAATTTGTTACTTCACCCAATTCAGCTCGACTTGAATAAAACATAATAATTATGCGCCATGACTCACAATGAATGTTATTTAATAACAACCAAAAAAAATGGCGCTTTACGTAACGCGTATCTTAAATCGAAACTCGTGTTTAATTTCGTTTGTTGTGTCTCTTTTGGATTTTTGGCAGATTGGATGAGTTGTCTTTTATGAGCATCTTGTGGTTTTTTAAAGGAATTATTTGGCTTTTGATGAATTTTTTAATTTTGTTTCTTTTTGTTTTTAGGCAGTTGCGATGAGTGTGTTTTTATATTGAAGGACTAGTTCATAAACTACTATGAGAAAAAAATACTCTTTCATTAGTTATTCATGCAGAAAACACGCCTTAACTTGTTGCCAATGCTGATTTAATGCTAATTTTAGGGCTCATAAACATAAATTATTATCTCTACTAAATTTGAGGGCATATATTGCAGATGTTCTTAGAAGCTATCAACGTCATTTTTGGATTTAAACAAGTATGTATGCAAATTAGTTTACGATTTGCTTTCCAAAGCCCAAAACACAGTTATTTGTGCTACAAAACCTACAGCGGCAATTGCTTGAGTACAACAAAATAAATAAACATTGCGAATTTTTGTTTGACACCCAAACAGAGGCCAGATTTTGTTGAGCTTAATGAGTAGAATACACAAATAAGCTGAGAAAGATGGTCGAAAGAGCAGCAGACTCGCAGACTCGTCTGTAATATAAACAAGCCCCGAAGTATTAGCGTGGAGGCGGTTTCGACCATAAAAATTGAGTAAAGATCGAGTGAGACTGATTGAAAATGCCAAACAGATGAGCAAGTACGTCGGAGTTGGCTAAAAAAAGAGAGCAGAAGGTCGTGATTGGGGAATGTTGTGAAAAGTCTGTACTAATTAAAATTTGATTTCACTACCGGCTTGAAATCGAGTAATTTGAGAGGAAGAAGAAAAAACCCAATCAGCACAGTTAACAATATTATGTTAAATGCCAAAAGACGTCTTGCTAATTTAATTTTTTTTAATTTATAGAACAACTTTTTGTTATTCTTTTGTTTAAGGTGTGTTGGAACGAGTTTCGGCTTCAGTCTCCGAAGCCATTTCAGCTAAATAGTCCGTTTGTTTATATGCTAAAAATGTACATATAATATTTTTTATAGCCAGCAGCAGATGAAAAGCAAAAGTAAACCCAGCCAAGGTTTGTTTTACAGAAACCCGTTAGCAAACACACACGGACACACAAAAGAAAACAGAAAGAGATTTGTACATTGTTTAGATATAGTATGGTAGTTGGAATAACTTTCACACATAAAATTGTACCGTTTTTATGCTGCGACAGTCACCGACGATGAAATGGCATAAAGAAAAGGCCACGAAAAATGATGTTGGCTGTGGCAACTGTCTGCTGGAAATCGCAGCAGCTTCAATCAACTTGTTAACTGTTTGTGGTAGCTGCTGCGTCTTTTTCTTTCTTTTTATTTAACTTCTTTTCTGTTGGTGTTGTTGACGATAGTGAGAGTGGGAAGCGAGGTGAATGGGAGTGAGCGCAAGTTATAGATGCTTCACTTTTGGAATAATTGTTATGTGGCAACAATTTGGCAAGAAAAACACTTTGTTTTTGATTTCACTTAAGCATATGTAACTTTTTTCGCGCATTTCAAGATTTTGTTTGGTAATTTTGTTGATTGCCACAAAATTTCACTAATTAAAAATTCAACTTTTTTCATTTCTGCAGCGCTTGCGTGGCTTACATTTTCAAATTTTTCGATTCGTATTCAATTTCTTTTATTCAATTTTTTCTTTGCTGTTGCGCTTTTTTTGGCTTACTTAGAGCTGTTGTTGTTGGTATTGTTGTGGCTGCAATAAACTTTAAGCCAGTTATACACACACAGCTACACACATTTACGCACACACACAGGCCCACACATGCACACACACACACACTCGTTCACTACGCATGCGCGCACGTACCGTTTTCGGCCCTCGTTCGTGTCTACGACGTGGATTTTGCTTTTCAAATTTTCTGTCCGCGCTGAGCACTTTTCGAGTTCGTTGTCTTCGCCAAACTGAATTGAAGTCTTTCGTTTTTGCTCATTGGAAGTGGTAGTGGCTGGCACTGCGGCCCATTCTCTGGCACCGTCTCCGTTTCGTCTCCATCTCCAGTTCCGTCTCAGCATTGGCGCTCGTTACTTGATTGGAATGTAATTTTATGAGCGCGCATGTTTTGGGCCGTACCGTTGGTACTGTTGTAGTTGTTTTTGTTGTTATAGCTGGAGCTCTTGACTTGGCTGTCTTTTACTTTAAAAACAGATACGTGTTGGTAACGAATTGTAGTACTTGGCCAAGAATTTGTTGCTGGCCAGCTCACTTAATCAATTAATTGAAACAAAGTCCAACAGTTACTTTTTAGTATGTGTAGCATAACAAATTTTCTATGAAATTATTTTCATTATTTTAAATCTGAAAAACACAATAATTTAAATATTTTATTTAAGCAAATAAAAGATCAATTTTGTTAAAACATTGAAAAACCATTTATTTTTACAGTCACAGCCAAATGTCAAATTTTCTTTATTATTTCTTTATTTACTATTAATTTCCCCAATACCGTTATTTTTCAATTTCCGTCCGTATTTAAAAAATACTCACTTCACTCAAAAGTAACCGCTCACAGCTAAACACACCAATAACCATTTTTTGTTCTCCCTCTCCGCTTTATGGATATTATAATTCGTACACGTTTATGTATTTCTTTTTTTGCGACAACTTTGTCGAGGTCGTCTGGTTTCTTGTTTTGCTTTTCTACAGCCGAAGGCGCTGCTTTCTGTGGCGTCTTTGGCTTTTGCTCCACAATTCCAGATTGCGAGCGTTAGCGAGTGAGTGTTGCAATTGGAAACCTTCCACCAGCTGTTGGAGCATAAAGCATTATCGCGCATGCGCGACAGTTCCCGTTGCATACAAAGAGAGCCACAAAGAGCGCTTGTGCATTTGAAGAGTGCAACAAAAAACAAATAAATACTCTTTGGATTGTATAAAATAGGCATACAATTAAATTTAAATGAAAAAGGCTCTACTAATTTACCTTCAAATATTTCATTTAATTTAATGTTTTCTTTTTGTATTTTGTAAGTAAATTTAAAATTTTCAAGTTTCTGAAGGCCTTTTTAAACATTTTGTAGCCGCGTGTGGCTTTTCGACGATGTCCAGCACTGTTTCGTACAATCGATTTTGCATGAATTGCGTGAAGTATGGATGAATAAAGTATAGATGTAGCGGAGGACTTCAAGTTTTTTGTAAAACTAATTCGATGTGGCTTTTATCACAAACAACGTTAAATGTAAATACGTAAATAAACAAAAAACCAATTTACAGAGTTTTATAAACATTTTGATGGCATGCTATTAATATCGGTAAAGTCGACGGTACATCGATATCTACTTCCGATGATTAAGTCGATAGAAATACTCATATCGATAGTCAGATGTGCAGCTTGAATTCCCATCCCTAGTCACATCCCTAGCCCGACTCGACTCCGTTGCCTTTTTGTGAGTGTAAAATGTTTGGCAATAAATAGATAAAGGCAAAAATTTAAATAAAAAAATATAAATTTGTACACGCGCGCGTACGCACGGCAACGTGTGCCTTTTCAAAGACGCGAGATCAACAACATATCGTACAATAAAATCGCCAACGTACAAATAATAATGTAAGTGCCTGAAAATAAATATATGTACATACATACATATGTATGTATTTTCAGTCAGGTTGAATGCATTGCGCGCTGCTGCTGCCGTGTCCGGTTTTGACATTGTTGTTCTTGTTGCTGCTGTCGGCGCCGTAATACTGTAATATACTTAAAATAAAGTAGTCGCATAAATAAAAACGGCAACAACAATAAGGCAGAAGTAGAGCGTAATTGTGCACAAAAGTAACAAGAAAATAACATAATACATACATAGCGCAAAAAGACAATATTCAACAAAAACAATAACGGTTAAGTTGAGCGATTGTGCGTACGTCGTGCTGTGTGTGCGTGTGCGAAAGATTCCGAATCAGCACAAATTCTTAATCTTGGCCAGCAAAATGGGTGCCTGTGTCTGTCGCATGAATCCCGATAATGAGACGATGAGCGTATCATCGGCGAGCGTGTCACGCCAGCCCAGCGCAGGTGAGTGCGGTGGTAATTGCCAATTACCTGAAATTCTGTTTTTAATTCTCTTTGTTGCTCTTTAAGGTATCGCTTTGGGCGGCGCTGCTCGCAAGAATCGTCCACTTTGCCATGAGACCATACGCTGGCGTTCCGATGTACCACTCACCGAGGGCCAGCTGCGCTCTAAACGAGATGAGTTTTGGGACACGGCCCCGGCATTTGATGGACGCAAAGAGATTTGGGATGCATTGCGTGCGGCCACGAATGCAGCGGAAGCTTTAGATTGGAGCATGGCGCAAGCCATACTCGACGGCGCTAATGTTTCTGTGCCAAATGGGTAAGCCAGCTACAGTCGCAAACCTCGCCCCACCATTTTGAAATGCTTGTATCAATCATCACATTTGGGGAGGGGCTATTGTAATGAGTGTTGGTCGCACAAGGTACTAATTATATTTGTTAGCGCGCTGCTAACGACCAGGCGCACAGAAAATCAATAATACACACATGGCTATACACTGATTTGTCAGCCGTAACTCCATCAAGGTATAAACGACGCTTCGCTCCGTCCGTTCGTCCGTTCATCAGTTTGCAACGATTTGTTTGTCTTACCTACACACGAAAGGTCCGACACAGAGGGGGTTTATCGCCTGCCCGATCGTTTGCTTTTATTAGAAATCGATTTTCGACTCGCTAACTGAGTGACTGCCTGACATTTGGTTTGCACTTCATGCGGGCATCAAATATACAAGTATTTTTCTATATATACATACATACATATATACATTCATATTTGTATGTTCGTACATACATATATGGTGTGTATTTGTGAAATTCATTTAAATGCAACGCATTGCGCGTTTTATGACCTTATGCATTATTAGTTTTAGAAATGTGTGCATGTATATGTGAGTGTATAGTATATAGTATATTTTTGGCACTTGGTGTTGTGTTTTCACTGAGCGCGACTCGAATTTCACTTTTTTTATCAGCCATTAGCTGATAGAGCATTGGCATTTGAATGTTTATTAAGCATTAGCACTAAATGTGGCTTAATAATGATAAGATAACGACTTAAGTCATATTTTTAAACAAAAAGATAAGGAGAAACATTTTAATTGCAAAATTTTATGCTTACCTTTTCATTTTTGTAATGTTTACACGCGCCATTGGGTTATGTTTTTATATCCTGTTTTTGAAGACTGAATGCTTAATAAATGTAACAATCGTGTGTCCCAATGTGCAGCTTATTTCAAACTATATTTAGCGCTATGATTTGATATATGCTGCCATCAATTATAGCTTTAAGATAAGATAATTATTTAATTCTAGATTAATTGTTTTTTTATGCTTGCAGCTACCTCACAGAATGCTACGATGAGCTGGGCACACAGTACAAAGTTCCCATCTATTGCCTCTCATATCCCATCAATATTGTGAAGGAGGAGAATGGCCGCGACTCGCCGGCGGAATACTCAGAGCCTGTTGATGGCGGCACTGAAATATGCTTAAAGTTGCGTATATCATCGACAATGACTGACGTAAAACTGCCAGTATACTCAAAAGATACGGTGGGCCAATGCAAAAAGAAGTTGCAGGTGAGTAAGGCATGAGATGTAGATTTCTTCAGTTGTTTCAAACAAATGTCTTGCAGGCCATTGAAGGCGTCGATGCTTGCTGCCAGCGATGGTTCTACAGCGGCAAGCTGTTGGGCGACAAAGTGCCAATCGATGAGTGCAGCATACAGCCGGGCTATGTGGTGCAAGTGATTGTTAATATCGAACATTATAATCACGACAATAGCACGAGTACGATACAAATGGCGCTCTCAAGCTAGCGGCGCACTAAACACAAACTAGTCAGTTACTGCAAAACAGCTAAAAACAAGAAGTCGTGCCGGAAAAGTTACAATAAAAATCAGCAACAACAACAGCAAGAAGCCATAACTCAGTCGCTGAACGACAGCAGCATTAATAATCGTAGCAACAACAACAATGAGCCACAGCGCCGTCAAACATACTCAGTGTGTAGCACAAAGGAATTAATTGCAAGATGCAACTGTAAATGTAATATTAAGCAGCATAGGCAACAACAAAATACGTACTGCATTTATCAAAAGCAACAATTTAAAATTGTTGTTGTCACAATTTGCACAACGCTAGTGGTTTCGTTGTTGTTGTTATCTTTGTTATGCTTTTGTATCATACAATGAATGCTGTAGGCAGTAAAATTAAAGGGAGGAGAAAACAACATTATTAATACATATACATATATATTTTTTTGATAATAATTGTATGGATACGAACACACACACACAAACAAAAACAAATACAAGCAGCTGTATTGAAAGAAAAAAAATCTATAAAAAATTTGAGTACTGCGTATGAAATAAAGCAAGTGGAAAATTATATATATATACAATGTACATTTTGATAAAAAACAAATTAATTATTAACTAATTATAAGTCTAAGCGACAGATATAGGAATGAAGAAACAAGAAGAAATCAAACAAAACAAGCCTAATTTATTTTGTATGTAACAAGCGTAGTGAAGAAGCAAACGAAACGCATAAATTTGCTCTAAGTGTTAAAATAATAGCAACAAAAATAAATATTTAGTAACAAAGTACTTTTGATACTGTTGAAAAAAAAGATTAATTAATATATACAAACAAGAAATGCTAAGCACAATGCAAACTGAGAATGATGTAAAAAAAATTAGAAAAAAAGGAAATTGTTACACACATCTCATTTGCTCAAAATAGTTAAACAACTGTTCAATTATTGGGAATAGTTTTGTGGAAATAACCGATGAGGATGCTGATAAGGCATAGAATAAACCCAAGTACCTTATAAATGTATATGATTTTTGCTTATGGTATTAAAAACACAAAAACAACATAGAAGAACACAATTACTTTAATTCATCATAATGTGAGATTAAAGTGAGAGAACAGAACAAGAAAAGCTATTCGACAACGCAAATTACATTTTTTATTCGCTTTTTATTTTATACTTGTATGACTAAGAATCGCATTTTAGTCGCAACAATTACTTTAAAATGTTCAATAAGTTGCGTGCTCGCTCAGTAAAATTACATATTGAACACAAAAGTTGTCTCTCTTGGCCTACATAATTAATTGTTCGAATGTGTTAATGTGCATGAAAAAATACCTGTGTATATTTTAAAAATGTAAATTTTAATACAAATTACTTTTTTATTACATATATCAATTGTTCAAAGAAAAAGAAATTGAAGAAAAGAACTTTAGGAAAAAATAAAATATGCAACAGTCATTGTTTTTTATTCAAAGCGGTTACTAAATTTTTAAATAGGGTAGGGGAAATTAAAAATAAGCATGACTATTAATAGAGAGGTCTTCCATGTCCATCGTGTGGCTAATATTAAAGCGTTCTGCTAAATTTTTACGGACTAAAGTCTTAAATTTTGTAAAGCAAGTTTGCAAAATTAAAAGACTTTATTTAAAAATTAAGTTTACACAAATAAAACCAATCCTAACATATATTTGTAGTACAAATCAACATTACAATAATTAACCAAACTATCTTCAAATAATTCTAAAAGCATAGATTTTTGAAAATATTTGATCCCGCTTATCTGACAGATATTTAAAAGTATGTCTAAAGCATGGTTTTTAATGAGCTTTATCGAAGGTTCCGATTACAAAATGAAGCGATTGGAATAAAGATAATAACATTTAGATATGTTGATATTTTGTTGGAATTGTAATAATTTAGGTTTAAAAAACTTTTCTATTATCTATACTAATATATTTTTTAACAGGGGAGCAAAATGGAATTTAAGCTATATTATATTATTATATTTATTTAAATTAGGAATTCATATAGGGATTAGGGAAGTTGATTATTTGAGATTCACATTTTAAATCTAGGCCAGCTTTTTAGTAAGTTGCTGCCAACTTTACGAGTATTGCTGCCAAAACTTACCGATGTAATGCTGCAAAATATGGTCAAGAATTCTGAAACGAATTTAGCTGCTGATTATATGGGAAAAAGAATTTAAATTGCCTTTATTAAAATATAAGTATTTGTTTATTTTTGTGTATCAAATTTTTTTAACAACTAATTGATATTCATTTAGTTAGGGGCTCCTCGCATCCAATTTCTGCAGCACTGTTAGAAATGAGAAGGCCATAGTGATGGTCTGAGATGAAAAAAAATATATTTTATATATTCTAACAAATCAGAACCGACTAGCTTACTTACACCTCTAAAGCGTTCGACATTCAGGAAATACATCTTGCCGGCGGTCAATTGAAAATGTTGTCTGGCATTAAGCAGGAAAAAGAGATAATCACTTCGCACATCTAGCAAATGTAAATGCCAAGGACTGCGCCACAAGGCATCGCCACAGCGTTGGCTATTCTGGTAGAGAAGCTCCGCAAAGTAGCAGATAATGAAGAGCTCGTAAAGAACCAGGAATAGGTATTGCCCCAAGGAAACCATCCTCATTAGAGAATTAGCTGTGGTGCTCTTAACCGAAACAAAAGCCACGAGGCACATGAGTAATGTCACTTCGAAGATTTTGAAGAACCAAATCGGGCTATAAAACAGTTCCATTTTCTGCAGTGTCGCAATTATATAGCGATGTTGTTGTAAACACCTCTTGAAGCTGTACTTGAAAGCAGTGCGGAAATTATGAAATCGATTGGTTCCCAGGCGAACCAATTCTTCTAGAGGCATATGTTGCTCCACAGCGTAGGCATATTGATTGCTCTCGGTATTTGTAACAGACTGTGCTTCTTCCAGGGTGCTGTTGAAGTGAAGAAATGTAACTCGAATCCAAGTATTTATACTCCCTTATATACTTACCTCAACTGTGCCATGGTAGCCCCCATTTCTGCATAGGTGGTGGCAAGAACATTCTTTAAACTACAGTAGAGTATGTCATATTGTCCGGATATCTGTATAGCCAGCACCATATGGAACCCACTAGATGAGGCAAAGGCAGCGGCTACCTGTATTTGGCCCACGGATTGCAGAAAGTAAACAACTTCATAGACAATGGGTTGCTGAAAAATAAAACAATTTAGGGATAATTTGAGCCTCAGATGAGGCAGGATAAGAATTACTTATTGAGAAAAAATTACCAATATTCTCATTAAAAAGCAACCTATTTTCAGACCAAATAAATAATTTGAAAATAGAAAATGTTACGCATAGTTTTCACTTACCCGAAAATCAAATGGATACCAGCAGGCCAAGGGCAAACTATGATCTCTGTATACAATGGGCAGTAGAAGCCAAAATACTGTGCCCAAATAGCATAAATATACATAACTTTTAATCCACAGGTTCGATTGCCTGAAGGCGCCAGCCATGGTTACATAAGTAAAGCCAATTTCTGAGCGTGTCTGATAGTTATTGTTAATGAAGTCCAATGTCTCGTTTAAGAGTCTTGGTCTGATGCGCCGAAAGTAGACCTTCATAGCTATGGTCCAAAAATAGATTATGGTTTGTATCAGACAATTGACCAAAAATTCCAGATCGCCGTGTCCGAAATAAATGACAACGGTACAGACATATAAAAAAGCTAAATGTACCGATACAAAGTAGCAAAACACTTCGTACATATAGTCGATAATGCGGAAAAGGATCGCTAAAAGTCCGGCTTCGCTGCTCCGATCAAAGCCCAAAGGATACATGGCCGCGACCTTCATAGTATGGCGTATAAAGGAGAAGAGATCCCGACGTTCATTCAAATCTGTATCGCTCTGCCTCTCCATGATTTCAAATTGTGAGACAGTCGGCCGTGTCACTGCTTTATATGGCAGACTAACTGGGAGGCGTTACTTTTTTGTTTTGTATCGTGACGAGTAAGTTGTCTTAATTGGGCGAATGGGAGTTGATAGTTTGGCTAAAGTGACATATTTAAGCAATTGATATTAATACTTAATCGCAATCACTTAATCGCTTTATATGGAATAGCATATAATAAATATGCAGACACATTGAATCGCTTTTAAAGAAGAGCGGCTTCAGTGAGATCCTGCAAGGGCAAAATATTAGACTGCATGATAAATATTTAATATATTAATAATAATAATTAGTTCGTATTTGCAACTTCAATATGTTTTTTTAACTTTAAATATGGAATTTAAAAAACTCTGGTTTTTATCTTTTTCCTTTTTTCAGCTTTTTTTGGGAGAATCTGTTGGGCGAACCGGCTAATAAAGATATCCCCACTGCTATAGGGAAGATCAAATAAATTGTACTAGTATTAATTAGCTTAACAATTTATCCAAACAAGCGCAAAATCATTATTATATATCTCCATATCTTTAATAGGTGGTTTTTTTAGTCTTTTTACTGCATAAACATTGTTTATATGCTTTTTTCCATGCTCACAGTTTGTTGAAAGAAAACGAAATAAATCAACATAAGATGGTAATTTTGATCCGTTTAAAATCATTAATTTGGACTAGATAAAGTACATAATTCGATGTTATTAGAATGTAACGAAGTTTTTAGTGTAGGATCATAGGTCTGCAAAACGGGAGATATCATCTGAGCTCCTCTAATTGCGCGCATCCATTTTTTGTAGCAACGTCAGAAACGAGAATGCCATTGTAATAGTCTGAAAAGAAACGAGATTGTTTGCTTAAGCTATGGTCAGAAAAGCAAATAATTTGCACAATAACGTCCATCATACCAATCTTTGTTATAATAATAAACTTCTTCACTTGTGTGCAGACTATTTGCATATCTGAATATTACTCATAGCGCCCACTAACCCTTCTAAAACGATCCACATTTATGTAATACATCTTGCCAGCACTCAACTGAAATTGTCGCTTTGAATTCAACATAAAGAAATTATAGTCGCTACGTATATCCAATAAATGTAAATGCCAAGGACTGCGCCACAAGGCATCGCCACAACGCTGGCTATTCTGATAGAGCAGCTCCGCAAAGTAGCAGATGATGAAGAGCTCGTAGAATATCAGCAACAGATACTGACCCAAGGAGGCCGTACGCATCACGGAATTGGTAGTGTTACTCTTAACACAAACAAAACCAACGAGGCACATGAGTAGTGTTCTCTCGAAAATTTTGAAGAACCAAATCTGATTGAAGAAAAGTTCCATTTTCTCCAGCGCTACCAAAATATAACGATGCTGCTTCAGACAACGTTTAAAGCAGCGTTTGAAGGCAGTGGGAAAATCGCAGGATCTACTATGACGCATTGCTAACAACTGATCCAGAGGTGTCTGTTCTTCCACGCAATATGAATACTGGCCGAGTTCAGCATTGGTAACCGACTGAGCAGCCTGTAGATTGCTAGTTAATTTTTGAATATTAAGAAATGGGTGTTGAAGGAATACAGCAAAGGATTACCTCAGTTCACCCATGCTAGCACCCATTTCCACATAGGTGGTGGCTATCACATTCTTCAGAGTGCAGAAGAGAACGTCATATTGTCCCAATATTAAAATAGAAAGCACCATATAGAAACCACTGGAGGAAGCGAAGGCAGCTGCAACAGTGATTTGACCCATCGATTGCAGGAAAAAAACAATTTCATAAACAACTGGTTGCTGAAAATGGGGGGAAGAGGTTATAAAGTTAGTTCTAAAGTTTTTCAATAATATCAAGGGGATAGAATATATACCATATTCTGCACTTTGATTTTAATCTTAAAATCTCGTTTATACAAAGGGTCTGTACTCACCTTATAATCAAAAGGATACCAGCAAGACAGAGGCAGACTCTTATCTCCATATGCTATGGGCAGTACCAACCAAAATATGGTGCCTATATAGCAGCAATAGCAAAATGTTTTCATCCAAATATTTGAATATTTGTTAGCCCCCTCCATTGTTACATAGCTAAAGCCAATAGCGGATCGTGTCTGATATTTGCTGTTGATATATTCGATAATTTCATTCAACAGCTTCGGTCTGACGCGACGAAAGTAAATCTGCATGGCGATGGTCCACGTAAAGATTAGAGTTTGCATGAAACAGCTAACGAAACCCTCTAGATCTGCGTTCCCACTACTGTAGGTCATGGCCGTTGTGCAGATATATAACACCAGCAGATGTATGGACACAAAATAGGAGAACTTCTCATAAAACCAGTCAATGATGGCCAGTAGTTGGGTAATTATTCCCGGCTTGTTGGCTCGAGTGTAGTGCAGTGGATACATTCCACCCACATACATCGTATAGCGAATGAATTTGAAGAGATCCCGACGCTGCCAATCCGCATTTACACTGTCAGAGCTCATGGTTTTGTGAAAATGAAAAAGTTGGTAAGCTGACGTCCTTTTATATTTAACACACATTTATAGGTGTGGAAGTGATTTATGAATGCATATATTAAGTACTTACCAAAAGTTTTAAATTATATGGCTGAAGCGCAAGAAGCTTCGCACTCGATTGGTAAAACTTTTCAGATATTAATAAATTATGAGCAGCACATTTTTTATACAATTTATCAATGGTTGGCAGCAGCAGTAAGATAATAATTTTTCAATATTTACGAATGTTTCTTTTTTTTCTATCTCAAAATATTTGTAGATGAAGTAAAAATTAGAACAATCTGTTGACCTTAAGGCATATATAATAAGTATTTATAAGAAATGTCATGCATTGTCTATTTCCCAATTGGAAATTTTTTATTATTTTTCGACTGCACATTCAGCATGGATTCCATTTGGTCTTTAATCCAGTTTCCATAGAAGCTAATGCGTGTGAAAGCAGTCGGTTTCTCCATCTCACAAGTATTCTTATCACAATACGATATAAAACCTAACAGTGTTTTAGAGTCTGCATCTATAAGTATGCCACCACTGTCGCTCTGTAAAAAGAAAATAGTCTTTTAAGTTCAATTTCTTTCTAGTTTGTTACCCGTATTTACATATTTACAAATACTTCGAAGTCCATCTGTGCGTAAAGCGCAAAATTGTTTGGCATTGCTGAATTTATTATCATATCCGCAGTCATTGTTTTCTACCATTTGGAAGCTTGTTGCAGCAATATGCGTTGGCACGCCAATTGTGTCTTGTTCCCAATCAAGCAGTAGAGCCCCCATGCCTGCCAACGTTCTGCGGTTACTTTTGTAGTTAATCGTGGTGAAGCGGGCTTTGTCTTTGGGGAACTTGGGCTCTACATGCAGAATAGCAATATCATCGCTACATTGCTGTCCAAAACGCTTGTGCCGTTTGAAGTTTTTGACTTGAAAACGTTGCGTATACGTATTGTTGTATATCTGATTGGTGCCAGCAACAATGCTCAACAATCTCAAGTTCTTTTCAACTGGTTTGGTAAGGCAATGGGCTGCGACAAGGACGAATTGCTCACTAATGATCGCGCCACTGCAGAAGTGTTTCTCTTGCTTCTTGCCAGGTGTCTGTAAGGAGACCATGAAGGGCCATTTAACATTGCTTTTGCTTTCCAGATAGGCAACATATTTTGTTTCTGCCGATCATGAGAATATTATCTATATAATATAATTAGCGTAAATATAATTTCGATACGCACCTTTTGCCGATGTCCTTAAATACTCCGCTGAGGCGAAAACTAAATAAATTGTTATAAGTTGCGCTAAAACTTCTCTCATGATCAAAGCAACGTACCTGTATGGAATGTTTTGCTGATCGCATTTGAAAAACTATGCATATCGGTGCAGTAAATTAAGCATAACGAATAGATGACAGCTTCTACACTGAGCAAAAAAATAATGAACAACGATTTTAGCAAATTAATGTAGGTGTTGTTTGCTTTACGTTTTTTTTTTTCAAATGCGAGCAGACATTATTTTGAAATTGATTCTAAAGCGTAAGAGTAGTGTGCTTGAACGTTTTGCCAGCCACAATACAGACCCATTCACATCATGATGGATACTTAGACTGAGGAAGCTATTAATTTTGAGTAAACCATTCAGCATTCGAAGTCAACTGAGCATATGCAGAGGCGCTATGTTGGCAGCACTTCAGTCTGGCTACATACGCCAAAAAGGCGAACCCAACAATGGGCCCATATGTCAGCGCAGTCCATTTGAAACATATGAGACTTACAACTATCTGTACAGTGAGCCAGTACATGTGTTTGCTTGTATGTAGGTGAGCTCCCACAGCTCGTAGCCCGAGCAGTGAGTTAAAATGCGACAAGTTTCCGCTTCCTGGCCTCCCCATGGCCATTCAGGACAATGGCGGACGTGCATGTTGCACAAAATGGAGACAGTGTGGATGCTGCAGCAGCAATGACCATCGACCAAGGACCAACACAATTCGAAAATAAAAAAAATATGTGTGGAAATGTGAAAAAGCAATCAACATCAACGAAGCTAAGCAACGGACACACAAACTAGAGATGCATGCGTGACAAGAAAAGCTGATGGTATCGCGCAGATTTAATAACCAAAAACCAATATTTTTTTCATTGATGAAATTTTAAAGTGTTTGTTTTGAGATCTCACTATTTTCTCTTCAACATTGGGAATTCTAGTCAATTTTTGGGTATCAAATATAGGTATATTTTTATTTATTTATGCAACGTATTTCTTATTGTTGTAAATGGTAGAACTCTTGTGGATTGGGTGCTTTATCGAGCTTTGCATAATTCTAGTTAATATAGTTTCCCCAATTTTCAAAGTAGATATATCTGTTATTCAATTCTATTATTATTTTTTCCAATATAAGCTGTTATCGAAAATCGTTTACATAGATGATATGTTTTTATTTATTAAATTTTCTTTATATTTAAATATCTTTGAACGTCAGCTTTTTAAGCAATTTGTGATATAACTATCACGCACACACACACGCACATATCTAACACACACACACACACACAGACACACTGAGAGCACCACATGAACATCAAGAAGCGACCATTGCCATCGCTTTAATGGCAGTCGTTGAAAAATGGCCAGCCAGTGAGGACGATGTGACGATGCTTGGAAATGTGGATACTTATATGGATAACAACAAGTGATTTTTATTTATTCATTCCTTAATATTCAACAACTTTTATTGTAATTTCTTCTGGTATTTACGTATGAGACAGAGCAGAAATGAAGCGTAAAAAGCTAACGAATATTTGCAATGCGCGAATGAATGTGGAATTGGAAAAAGGAAGGTATTATAATACAATATATATAAGTAAGTTTATGCAAAATGGATAAAAAACGCATATGGGGAAAAAATGGATGGATAATCTCTGCGTATGCCGCTGGCAGCCTAATCGATGTTTAGCTGCCTGAAGGTGCCCTCCATGCCGAAGAGATCATCACTGGTCTTTGGTGCGCCCGGACGCAATGATTCGTTGGCCTTCTTGTCCTCCTGCTCCTTGAACCATTTGGTGTTGTCGGCCAGCTTCTGCTTCCACCATTGATTCAGCTCGACAATGTTACCTGCCTTGCCGCCATATTCGTTTGGCAGCAGCTCACGAGGCACCACCTTGTAGAGGCTCTCCACATCGTTGTGGAAGGTGATGCGACTGCGTATCTTCTCCTTGACGAACGGCTTCACAAAGTTGAAGATGGTGTCGACCAGCGGCGAAATGTTGATGACATGCACCTCTTTAACCTTAACCGGATAGGCCTCCTGTACGGCAATCAGAAACTTTTTGACTACCGTCGGCGAGAATTTGGCAAAATGTGAGGCTGAGGCCACCGACGCATCCAAAATGAAAATGTCACCCGCAATGCCAACGCTCTCCTCGGCCAGACGTACATCTCCAATCATGAGGGCCACCTTCATGGCGTCGAGTATATGATGGGGCTGAAAATCACAGTCAATGCCGCGTATAAAGGTAATGCGACGTCCATTGGGCGTAATGCCAGGCAGTGTGGGACAGTGCCTAGAAATGGTAAATAATATCATTGAATATTAATGCATTCATGTCAGATCTCTTCACATTATTGTTTAAAATGTCAATTTTACAATCGTGAAATGTCTACACAATACGATTTTTTGGGTGATGTCTACATGGCTGATTGGACTACCTAAGATTTCTTCAAATACGATTTTTAAATGGCAGATGTTTAAACGTCAAATTTGTACACATCTGCGTTAGATTTTTACGCATCAGACTTGTTGATTTTAGACATCCAGACGTCAGATGCGTACATTTGATTTGTGTATATATTAAATGTTTCCACATCAGATGCCTATATGTCAGATATCTATACTTCAAACATCTGCACGTTAAAAGTTAATGCCTTTGATCTCTATGCGTTCCATTTATCCACGTCAGATATCTACACGTCAGATGGGACTAAATTAAATGTATACACATCAAATGTCGCGACAACAAATGTTTACTTATCAGAACAAGTATGCGCTTAACACCTAAAGCTATTGATGCATGGAAAAACTACATATCGACTCCTGAAGATCCCTTATTGCGTTCCACAACTTACACATAATCCAGCACTATGTTCAGCTCCTCACGATTAATATCACGATTGGAAAAAAATTCGGGCACAGCATTTCGCATGGTATAGTACATGTCCAGCTTCTTCTTCACCTTCTCTAGACTGAACTTGCAGCCGCGCAAAAAGGTCGTCAAACGCATATCATCCATGTCCTTGGGCAAGTGTGGCTGCGTCTCTAGCCATTCGCGTATCAGCTTAATGTCGCGCTCAATATCTGCAGGATCCTCAGGTTCGCGCAACTCCTCGCGTATGCTGACGCGCTGGTCTGGTGTGGGATGTAGCATCATCATCTGGAGTGCGAAATGAAAGGGATAAGTTGATAAATAAATTTGTTAATTTGATTTAATTGTTAAAAATTAACCAACTCTTTATTTATTTGAAAATTTTTCATCGGAATTATGGTAAGTTTTCGGGATACCGCAAGTTTAGTAAAAATGTTCTTGATTTTAATTTTAAGACATAAGCAGAATACATTAAAATAATTTAGAAGTCCATATTTTATATTTTTATTAGCACAAAGTACTTAAACATTCTTCCAACTAGAACCAACCTGTTTTTGAAAACATTCTGAGCCTCATTTGTAGTTCAAGTGAGATAATCTATTTGTAAGCTTCAGCATTTGCTCAATAACTTCAAAAAGTAAACATCATTTATAAAAAGTATTTGTAGTCTACAAATTAGTTCAAAATATTTGGTAAGAGTATAAAATCCTCATCGATGGACGATAATATGTGAATGAATAGGGCGTGTTGAGGGGCTTGCCTGCAAACCTTGAAAACAACAAAGCTAGAAGAGAGAGTGGGGGGCAAGGTATAATGCTTAATAGCCCATTAATGTAGCCAACCCACAATTGTCTAATGACGTTTTATCGGTTCGTAAAATCAAAATAAGCAAAAATACATTTTTTTTAAATTTGTATACAGACGTCAATTTATTTTTGACATTTTAAATGGTGCGTCTTTGGGTTTGTTACACGCCACTGCGTCGTCGTTTCATTGGCATGCCAAACAACAGCCACGACAACAACAAAATTGACATCAACAGTACTCAAGTATGACCGGCCGTACTTAGAGGTATAGTATACCCTAGTCATAGTCATACCTACATTTCGGCGGCGTTACGTAAGCCAAAGACGTAAAACGTAAACCTAAATCAACCGCAAATGACCTCAAAGACTAACCATGGCTTTTGCGTTTATTCAGCGTTTAAGTCTCTTTAGCGCTTTTAAAGTCCACGACGCGCACTTGGCCAACAAAATAGCAACAACAACAACAGCAACAGTAGTAGCTACCTGCCAACCATAAAAGTAAGCGCAAAAAGTATCTAAAATGTAAAACAAAAACAACAAATATCGTGCGCTTATGCAAATTGTACAGCCGGCGCATCGTTAAAACTTTCGTAAATTTTAGTTAGTTAGAGAGTACATCGGCTCTCGTATTATGTACGAGTATGTATTCATTTTTATTTCGGGTAAGTGCTATTTTATGATTGTTACTTAAACGGTTTTGTTTTGCGTTTTGTTTATGGTTTATTGTTTTCTAAAGCGCCAAATTTGGTGTCCACACAAACATACATACAGACAAATATATATACTCGTATGCTTGGTTTTTGTTGACTTCACTTTGCTGGCCATATACTTCATATGTATACTTATACTTGTATGTAAATAAATGGTTATATATGTGCCAATGGGTAAATATTTATGTGGACTTAGAATGAAGAGCTGTATTAAACGAGCCACACACAAATAGATGTTAATTCTTTATAAGCCAAATGAAAAATTTAAATAAAATATTAAGATGTTGATGACTATAAATATTTAGCAAAAAATAACCACATGTGGAATAATTGGCAACAAACAAAAAACTAGAAATACAAAGTGCATAAGTTTAGTTTACAAAAAGGTAACATTTTTGTGGAACACTTAAACATTTTCTATAAATTTACCTTAAGCTTGAACTGAAAATAATTATAAATCTTGTTTCTATTTGTGCCTAAAACGATTTCTTATTTAAACGGTCTCTAATATTCTTAAACAACTAAAATAAAGCTATCCTTTTGGTATAATCATTTGGAATTATATTTTTTATTAATTAAAGTAATTGATTAATGGTTCAATTTCTAACCTACAAATCACTGAAATATGTTTCGCACTAAAAGCTGAAAGAGTTTAAAAACTCCCTTTAAAATACACGTTGTTTTGCTTTTGCATTTAGTAGATCTATGAATGCATTTTATATGTTTCCCTATAGTAGCTTTGATGAAATGTTGTCAAATAACTTTTGTTACATGAAAGAATATCCCACACTGCAATAAATCCGCATATTTTGCTCATTGATTGAGTGTGTAAAATTTGCAATAATCCACTTTGAAAAACGATTTTAAAATGAAATAAAGGCAAAGCGGCAGCGCCTATTGTCTAAGCCATCATATACATATACTATATACACATGTTGTAGCAACTTGATAGATTTGTTAGCTCGCGCCATGCAACGTTCAAAAGTGTGCGGCTCATTGAGGCCAACAGTCGGCAGCAATCACCGAGCGTGTTGCATTTTGGCTTTCCCAATATATAGTAGTAACAAGAAATAACACCATTGTGCCTACTGCGTGCTATATGGAACTGTAATTTTGCTTGCAACAACAATAGCTGTGGCAGCAACCTGCTAGAATCGACAGGCCACTTCAGTCCGCAGCCACAATTACTACCGGTTGGCGGTTTCTCGGACTGAGATCCAAAACCCCACACACACACACACACATACAGTTGCGCATTCAAAATTGCTCTCTGTGCACTCATGTGGTTAGCTGTGTTGTTGTTGTAAATGGTTATTGCGTTTATTGCAAGTTTTGCGGCAACAACTTCAAACATTGCGAAAATCTTCACGAAAAACGAAAAAAGAAAAATAAGTATTTGTGGCAAAAAGTCAGAAGAAGAAACAGGTTTATTGCCTTATATCTTCAGGCCCGACTCGGACTAGCTCTGAGACTTGCTTCAGCTTTATCTCTGTTTGCATGGTTTTGGGTTTTTGGGTTTTGGTCACTTCGCTCTTTGCTCTCCGTCTGTGTAAACACACTTGTAGCTATTTCTAGGTATGTGAATGTGTGTGTGCCAGTCATTATTACTTACAATTATTTTATGTGCATGTTTTGCAATTTCGCGGAATTTGTTTTGACGGTTTGTGGGCAGCGGCCATTAGGAATGGAGATGAGGAAATGATTTGCAAATAAGAATATAAGTTCTCCATGATAATTACTCCGGTTAATTGAGCCCAAAATGTTTCCGCAATATGACATAATATGAATATATTCACCATGAATTAGTTTAATTTAATTTTAAAAACACACTTTGTTCAATTTGAATAAATTTGTATAATTTTTGCTTGTTTTCTTTTTGCGAAAAAAATGCAAATGAATCGTCTTACTATTTCTGGTTTAATAACTAAGAGCTTGGCTATAAAACCATGGCTGTAGGTTAGGGGGTCAAAACATGTTCAATGATTCTAGTTATACATGATAGATTATCTAGTTTTAGATTTGAGAGTTCTTTGGAAACTACCAATAAATGCATTTAATAAACTAAATATTAATAAATAAATAAATAAATTAATTAACTAATAATCTTAATGCATGGCTGGTAAAATGTCAGTCTTCGTTATGTTTAAGTTCATTTTTGTTTCTGTGTAGATTTATGAATATTTTTCAATTAGCGAATAAAATAGATAAGCCATTTAATTTGTTCTATCTTCAATAAAATGCAGTCCAAAGTCATTAAATCAGCTACGGCTTAGTTAGTTAGCTACGGCTTAGTCCCATAAATGAAGTACAAATGCTGCACATTTTTCAAAAATTTGCATTTCTCCGCCTTTAGTTACGCCTTTTCCTTTTCGCAATATTGGTTTCAGAACTTGTTTAATATTGTGGTTAAATATTTCTCCTCCTTATTAGAGTATAATTGTCATTCATGTTAAATGAACATATTTATTTGGTTTTGTTTTTAATGTCCATGTGCCATAACAAGTTTTGTTGGTTTTGTCGATTCATTAACAATATTTTATTGGCTGCACGGGTGCACGAGGAGTCCAATATTAAAACGATAGATGAATTAATTTCTTGCACTACACTACCTGCATGTAGACTGGTGCTTTTCATTCTAGTATTCATCAAGTACTAACTTAGTCAATAAGTCTGCTTTAAAATTATAATTAAGGCGTTCGTGCCATTTGTTTCTTTCAAATTTAATAATATATTTAAGCTACACTATACACTTGCAATATATGTACATATTGATAATTCAGATGCTTTAGGCAATCTATGCTACTTTTTATTTGGAAAATAAGGCAAAATAAATTAATAATATTGTTTAACGATATATGTATAAAAAATATTTGGCTCCTGCTAAATGTGATGCTTGCAACGTCATGTAGAATCCATTCATTTTTGGAAGCCTTAGGGTCAGTTTTTGAGATATAAAAACCTCTCGATTTATAACAATTTAAAGCTCCTTCATATATTCTCCTAAAATGGTCAATGAAATATATTCGGCATTATGTAAATTTCATCTTCTTCAAAACTATGTTAAATCAAGACTTTAAGCTTCCCAATAATGAGAATTTCATGAAAAATTTGCATTTTCCGAGGCAAGTAATTTTTAATATGCCTTTCTGAAAATCTTATAGAAGAATCTTTTTTCGATTTGCAAAAGAATCCCTTTATTGCGAATGAATATATTGTTAAACTGGTGTTAGCTGTAGGCTCATGTAGGCTTAAAAACTTTAAGCTCAAAATTAAGTACAATAAATAAGTTAAAATGCAAGACACGCTTGAAAATTCAACGAAGACAGCTACTCAAATACTAAATATTATTCTCAACATATAATCAATTTTGAAGCACATAAAATCCTTTCATTCACAATTTCTTCAACGTGTACGAATTTTTTATTAAATGTATCTCTTTTAATATTTATGGATCTTCAACTAAATTTTGTTCGCATTTCAAAGCCACGGTATTCTTTTGTATTCTTGCTTTGTAAAAGACATGCACAATTATCAAATATATTCTGCATTTAATTTCTGCACATCATTTGCTGTATTTGCTTTATTGTTGACACTCATTTAAATTCCATGCCGCATTGTCCTCCACACAATGCGCCTTACAAAACGAATTGTCATTAAAGATGAAGATTTAAATGCTCAGCATTGAAATGTGGCATTTGAATTGAAATCGCATGAATTGTCAAGTGCAACAAACCATGTCACGAAGAGCTACTGTGAGTAGCAAAAGTCAAGATAATATATACATATGTATGTATATATTTTCTAGTTAATGTGAGCTCCTTGTGGCGTGGAATTTTAGCACGATTTTAATTGAAGTTTTATTTAATATTGTTTTACGGATCAAGTCCAGCGCGTTTTAACGGCTAAGCTCACCTTGAATGCAGTTGGTTTTTTAGCTTGGGGCCTAAAACAAAGAGTTAAAGCTGTAATCCTTTGTGTTGGGATATATCCAAAGTGGTTAACCGCGGCGTATAAGCGATCTGTGCTCTGACACGCGACACAACCGAAACGCTAAAGACGATAACTAAAACTGAACGTCTGGAAACATGTTTGGCGGCATATAAATACGCGAGCACCGCCAACTTCGGCGCCGACTGACTGACGATTGCGACAAAAACAACAAGTGAGTGCGCTCAAAAACCGAAAGCAGTTAAAACAGATCATGCCATGAAAATCGGTCAAAGAGAAAAACATACCGCTCGTACTAGCGAGCGGCGACGAAGCGAAGTTGCATTTGGGATTGGAATTGAAGTTGGAGTGCCAGTCCAGACAGATCGCCTGCCATTTGCGCAAGAAGTTCAAAAACAAAAAACGAAAAACTACAAATTGCACGCTTGAGTGTGTGCGGCAAGTGTGGCGCTTTTCCCAACAACAACAACGGTCAGCTGCTATGACTAAGCGCCTTTAATTGTTTGACAATGTTCGAAACCACAGCGCACAGCTGTATCATTTTGAATGGTTTGTGTCCAGGCTGAGGTTGGTTACCAAATAGAGCTCAGCATTATAGTTGACTTATTCTTTTTCAACTTGTAAGTGATTCTATACTTACGTTTCTAAATCGTTTTATGGATTTCTTAAGTATAAACTGCTCTTAAAATTTATATTTTACCTTTCCTAATCAAATCATTTTGAAACACACAATTTATTTAAGTAAATATTTAAATAAATTAACAATTTCTGTTCAAATTTTGTTCGATTTTTATTCTTTATTTTTTTGGTATCGATCAACTGTAAATTATAGGTCATGATTTGTTTTCTTTTATATAAAAATAAATGTATACAAAAATTGAAAGTAAAAGAAATACAAATTTAAATAAACATAAAGAATTTATGAAAAATATAATAAATGAAATAAGTATAAAAATAAATAAAATGAAAGAAAAATGAGATGAACATACGAATAAAATAAAAGTAATTTAGCTGAAAGGAAAATAATATTCCCCCACTGTGTTGGAGGCGTTAATTAGATATTATTGTAATTTGATTTGATTTCTTATAAGATTCTTTTTATAATTTTTATATATTTTCCTCCTATGTCGACAGTCATATGTTTGTTGACATAAATAAATAAATAAAAATAAAACTATTATCAAAATAGAGAAAATTAAGTAAAACTAACAGACACAAAGGTAGGTCGGTAGGTCGGAGCGGCAGCCAGGGTATGCACCCCGACTCACTTAGGCCTTGTAGATTGGCCCGTTGTGATACCGCATGGACAAGTCCACTTCCCAAAATACCCGTGTTTGGCTGCATGTCTGCGCGAGTATTACGTCCATCCAGCTGCCTGGATGAACTTGAAGATGTCTATCGGCTTCTTGTTTGCTAGTGCCGATAGATTTGGTAGGAGACTGTCTCCTAAGAATCGATGTCTTGTTCTTGACAAGGCCGGGCAGTCGCAGAAGAGATGTGTTACCGTTTCCTCCTCTTCCACGTCTCTGCAGCTTCTGCAGAAATCGTTATGGTGGAGCCCTAGTCTGGCGGCATGGGTGCCCACCAGCCAGTGCCCTGTGATGGCTCTGATTACGACTGAGCATTGGCTTCTGCTCAGTTTGCAGAGTTCAGAAGATCGTCTCTTGTTGAGGATTGGCCATGTTTGGCGTGTGATTTTACAGGAGTCTGTGTCGGTGGTCCACATTTGATTGGCGACCAAGTCAAAGTGGTTTCGGACTGACAGTTTACAGCTGGCCATCGGTGTACCGACGCTCTCCTTGTCTGGGAGGAGGGAGGCGGTAGTACCGTGTCTTGCCAGCTCATCGGCTATGCAGTTTCCCTCGATATCCCTATGGCCTGGGACCCAAATGAGGTATATAGAGAGCTGTGTTGCCATCTCGTGAAGAGATTTGCGACAGTTCTGTACTGACGTCGAGTTCGACGTGATGGCGTTAAGGGATTTTATAGCCGCTTGGCTATCCGAGTAAATGCAGATTTCTCTGGTATGTGTGGCTGGGCTTGGCAGTATAAGAAGAGCTTCTTGAATGGCTATTACTTCCGCCTGGAACACACTGCAGTGATCCGGTAGCCTGAAGGCTTTTCTGATTCCGAGTTCTTCGCAGAAGACACCCCCGCCTACGCGGTTGTCCAGCTTAGAACCGTCTGTATATATTTTGATGGAATTGGTTGGGCCTGGCGGGCCGAAGTTCCAATCTTCCCTAGAGGGAATGATGGTGTGGAAAGGAGTATGTGGATACTCTTCTGCGATGCAGTGGTCAGTGACTGATGGGATGTTGTCATTTCCCTTCAGAATTTTGGCATGACCAAAGCATTCCTCTGACCACTGGTTTGTTTCTCTCATGCGAAGAGCCGCCAGCGTGGCGTTCATTTTTCCCATGAGATGTATTGGGAGTATTCCCAGAATTGCATCTAGTGCATCATTTGGAGTAGTGCGTAAAGCGCCCGAGATCGTTAGTTCAGCCTGTCGCTGAACTTTGTTAAGTCTCTGAAGAGATGAGTTTTTCGAAAGGGATGGCCACCATATGGAGACACCATATAAAAGTATGGGTCTGATTATTGCAGTATATAGCCAGTGGACCACATGGGGGGCCATGCCCCATTTCAGTCCAATGGATTTTCTGCAGGTATAGAGTGCGATTGTGGCTTTCCGCACTCTGTCTTCAATGTTCAAGTTCCAGTCCAGCTTCCTATCTAGTATCAAGCCTAGATATTTGGCTGAGCTGTTGAAAGCTAATGGTACCCCATTTAGTAATGGGGGACGAAGAGATGGGATTTTGTATTTCCTCGTGAATAGTACCAGCTCAGTTTTGCTGGGGTTTACACTTAGGCCACTTGACGTTGCCCAAGTTGAAAGTGTGCTTAATGCGTCAGTCATGCGTTCGCACAAGGTTTGGGGAAATTTACCCGAGAAGGAAATGGTCACGTCATCTGCGTAGGCTATCGCGCGGCATCCCCCTATCCCTTCTAAGGATCGTAGGAGTGAGTTAACTGCCACGTTCCATAAGAAGGGTGAGAGCACCCCACCCTGAGGCGTTCCGCCACTCACATATCTAGATACCGTGGACATCCCCAGTGTAGACTTAATGGACCGCCTAGTAAGGAGCTGTCTTATCAGTTCCACAATGGAGTTGTCCATCCCTAGATCGGTGAGTGAGCCTGTGATGGCGCTTGGAGACACATTGTTGAAAGCACCCTCTATGTCTAGGAAGGCGATTAGAGTATAATGTTTGATTTTTAGAGCTTTTTCGACGCCCGAAGTGACAGCATGGAGTGCCGTTTCTGTAGATCTGCCTTTGCAGTATGCGTGTTGAGAGCTTGAAAGCTCTGAGAGGGGGATCTTACTTCTCAAATAGAGACCCATTAATCTCTCGAAAGTCTTTAATAGAAAAGATGAAAGACTTATCGGCCTAAAATCTTTCGGGGTAGTGTGCGAGGCTTTACCTGCTTTGGGTATGAAGACCACTCTTGATCTCAGCCAAGCTTCTGGAATATTCCTTGTCAGGAAGATCTTGTGAAAAATATCTGCCAGCCATCTGATGGCAGTATTTCCTGCGTGAATAAGCTGCGCCGGAATGATATTATCCGGCCCTGCAGACTTATAGGGCTTGAAGCTTTTTATTGCCCATCTGATATTATTTTCAGATAGAAGATAGGGTGGCGTTTGAGATGGACCAGCGCTTGCTGAACGGCCGGTTGGTTTGATGCTTGTAGAGCTGGGAAACATTACATAAAAGTATGTTAGTAGACAGGATGTAGTTAAAAATGGACTCACCCCGTACATTGGTATCAGTGCTACCCCACTGAGTGTGATGAGCGTTGGCATCGCATCCTATGAGCAGATCAATGTTGTTCTGCCTGCTGTCCTCTATTATTTGTCTTGTCAACAGAGGTGGAGGGTTAGCTTCCTCGTAAGCCATATAGGCTGAGCATATTCTTAGAGGCTTTGGCTTAGCCTCAATGCATGCGGCTGTGTTATCTTCATTACTGAAATTGGATAGCAGAAAAATGTTTATGTTTTTCTTGATTAAAATGCAGGTTCTGGTCTTGCCTGAGCTCTTCGCTGTGATCAGCTTATACTCCTTCGTCCCCAGTCCAGAAACCTTGTCCCTACGGACCCAAGGTTCCTGAATGAGGACTACGTCGATGTCGTCTTTGCTCAGACGATGTATTAGGGCAGCTGTTGCTGCTTTGCAGTGGTGGAGGTTAATCTGTAGAAACCTCAAGGGCATCTACCTCCATCTCCACCACTGTCCTATCGGCCTCGTCGTCGTCTAGGATGAAGTCCTCATCCTCGTGGCCTAAAGTCGCGAACCCTTTCGTCAGTTCGGAGGTTTCGGAGGAATATCCTTCAAGGATATCCTCATCATCCGACGCGACCTCTGTTTCAGGACTGCCTGGAACGACTGGTTCTGCGTCTGCTGGTTCCGCGTTTTGTGTGGTGGGCTTACCACTCGCTGTGTCACCTCGGTAGACACGTATGGCTACCGATTTGTAGCCATACCTGGCCAGATTTCCACATCTTGCCAGCTCGTCCACCGATTCCTTGTTTATAACGAGTACGATCTGGCGCGTGGTCCCTTCCGCCTCCTCTACCTTGACCACGCTCCAGTCGTCCGTTTTCATGCTCGGGTTGCAGATCTGAAACACCTTCAGGATCTCTTCTGGCTTCTCTGGTTTCGCCGATACCCTGACCCTGGCACGTGGTCTGCTGGGTATGTCGCACCAGTCCACCGCAACCAGTTTTGCACCTGGATACACTTCTCCGAGTGCTGCAATGGATTTCTTGTAGGCCTCGGCTGACCGCTTGTCATGACAAGCGATGGCCTTGACCCTGCCTTGATGCCATCCTGCATCGTCGCATATAGGTGGTGGTCCTCCACTCGTTGCCAGGTCCGTCAGAAACCGACCTTGCAGCTCGTTTTCGACTCCTGCCCATCGGTGTCTCAACAGACACAAAAGAAGTATTGAAAATATACAATGAAATATTATATATAACAAAAAAAGCAAATATAAATTCAAAAACAATATAAAAGGAAAATAAAATTAAATAAAATCAAAAATTTAAATAACTCGTTACATTCAACATATATGGAACGAAACGAATGTTTTCTGTTGCCAGGTTCGTGTCTTAAGTCTTTCGTTTTTCTGAGGTCAACACAACTGAAAGGCAAAATGAAACTGTTAATGCATTGAAAAGCCATTGAAATAACAATAAGACACGCCTTTTTCTAATAATGCAGCCACATATATATTGTTGTATATAAATTTAGAAAACGTTTGCAACATTTAACTGCTTTTATTTTATTGTAGCGCTTATTAGCTCGCCATACATGTCTAGTCCGAACGCTTCGCCAGACATTGCGTGCACATTGCATTTTCGAAACATAATTATTTCTGATAATTATTTTCTCGACATTTTGCTTTTTGTTAAATGAAGCAATTTATTTTTTCGCTTCGAATGCGTTTTTCTTTGTGCATATCTCTTTTTTTTTCATTTTGCGAGCAAGTCATTGAACTTGTCGCTGATGCTGAGGGGCAAACATTTTCTTTGGCATTTGGCAGCCATTTCCTCATTTTCATTTAAATGGAAATTTTTCCATATATATTGCGTAAATTGCACGCGGCCATAACTTTGTCTTTGGCTTATATATGTTTTTATTTTATTTTTTTTATTGTTCCACTTGTTGATTACCACAATTATCAACGCTCGTAAACAAATATAGTCGGCTGATGAAGATATGGCAGTCAGCGAGACTTTGCCTGCGCACATTAAGAGCTGTACATGAGTTGAACTTAGCTGCCCTTTATTTTGTTTGGTTTGTTATAGCCGTAGAGACACAATTGCGGCTTATGTGGTAACAATAATCAAAAGGCACAAATGCAAAATGAACAGTTACAGATCGGCGACTATAACGGCAATGGCATAGACGGTGTGACGAGTTTTTAGTAGTCTTGGATTATGTGATAAAGGAGAAATTCAGATGAATAACGTTTCAGCTATTTGATGGTGGTACAAGTATATGTAATTGCAATTCAAAGTGGCATTGAGTTGAGATATACTAAGACTAAGGCGTATATATATTTTCAAGTTAGTTAAGTATATGTTGAAAAAATATACAATATCAAACTTAAAGAATCAATAAATATATTGATGACCTTGCACTTTCTGTTGAATTCGTTTAACCGGCTCGAGGGCAAGTGCCTTAAAATCCACGCCTATCAGACATGGGCGTGTAAAATATACGCAGCTACCCTGAAGTCGATGATTGTCAACAAGCATTCAATATATATTTAAAAAATCGCTTAATTTATAATTTCTAGCCTCAATAAAAATAATAAATAATAATTTCTAGGCAATATTAATTATTTGTACAAATATTTGTTAATTACACTTTTAAGAAAAACTGCTTGATTGTAGTTAAATACTTAAAAAACAGCATTATGAATTAAAAAATCGTTTTAATACATTTTTACTTGACTTAATTGCTATCGTACAATGTTTTGAAAATATTTAGTAACATTCAATTAATTATCATTTTTCAAATGTTTTTTATCGATGTTCATAATAATATTTGAATATCTATGTACATATATCATATACAAATGATTTAAGTTTATCCCACTTCACAATGCTTAGATTGAAGAAATGAATAAAGATTAGTCTAGCAAATGAAAAGGTTAAGTTAGATCGAATCAAAACTAACTACAAAGCAAGTCGAGAAGAAAAAAATTAAGAAAATTGAAAAGAAAGTTTCCATGAAGAATTTTCATATCATTTCATAAAAATGTAATGGAATGGGAGCCCCAGGTTAATTAAAAATAAGCATTGAATAAATTAACTATAAATTACTTCGATCATTCATATCCTAATATCATCAACATAATTTTTTATAAAGTTATATGCAAAACAATTTAAAAAAGCTAAGCCATTGATTGATAAGGTGAGGCACTTTTTGGAGTTAGAATGTCGTTTCTTTGGTAACAGAAAAATGAAGTCTTTAAGCAAAAAGTAATGAAAGCATCTTTATTATTTTTGGAATAACTTCTAACCACAACAGAAGGATACGTCAAAGAAGCCCAAAACAAACCTAAATTAAAGAAGAATATAAAAATGACCAACCTTGTATTACAAATGTTATTAATATACAAATCAAGGAATCTTAGCAATTAAAAGAATAAAAAAGTATTCAGACTACTGAAAAAATTTATCTAGCTTATTAGTAATTTAGACATCTCTGCAATAAACAAATTAAACACCATAATCATAAAATAAAACTGTCTAAATAACAAACTATACTTGTAAAATAAGCAAATAATATTAACACTTATTAATCCTGCATTTTACACGGTGCTTGTGCAGAAAAAAACCTGCTTCAACAATCATTTATCATTACCTAAAACCTAAAAAATAAGATAAATTGATTTGAAAATAAAGAAATGCACTTGAAAATTGGCAAGTTGTGCGAAAAATTTCGCATAAATAAGAAATTAACGCCAAGACAGCAACAAGCCAGAAGCTTGTCGCAAAAGGCATATACAGACATACAACAACAACAACAACTGGACACGGACAACAACAAAGAAAAGAAATGAGAAAAAAAAGAAAACTAATTAAACTTGAAACTAATAAATTAAACAGTGCTGGCTGCTGCCGACAAGAAACTTTCGTTTGCAGACGAAAGTGTTCGCAATAAAGAAAACAGTAGCAACAACAACAACTGACACATATGTTGTTGTTGATAATGTTGCTGTTGCTGTTGCTGTTGCTAAAGCTGCTGCTACTACTTGTGGTATATACTTGTACGTACTATATATATTTTTATGCTTTTTTATTTCCTTGCAAACTTTTAGTACCAACACTTATGATGAAAAGTTATAAAAAGAAATAAACTGAAAAATATACAACAAAGCGTGGCCGCATTATAAAAAATAAAAATAATCGTGCTACGTTTTGAGTTCAGCTTCGGTTTTAGCTGCAAGTGGCGAGTCGAGAGTTGAGAGTCGAGTTTCTTAAGCAATTCGAAAATCATAAAGCACGCTTTCAAAACGCAAAAGACAAGACGAAAAAAAGCATTTTTAAATTACATTTCTGTTACATTTCGTTAAATAGTTTTACACACACACATACACACACTCACACACTCACACACTTTTAAGCCCGCACACTCATGTGTGTGAGTGTGTGTGTGTGTATAATTTTTAATTACTAACTGCAATTGTTGCTCCATTGCCGTTGCTTCGGTTGCGGCATTCACGAATAATAACTTGGCCAAAAAATATTTAACTAGACTAGAAATTCGCATTTCTCATTTACATTCAATTAAGACGGCTTAAGACCGTCTGGCCAACATGCAGCGGAGCGTGCAGATGCACCGTTCATTTGTTTGCACGTGACGCCCATTATGTGGACGTGCCCATTTGCGTGATGGCCACGGACAAACAAGCTAATTGGCCAAGACGCCAAATTGGCGAACAAACACTCGAAGATAGTCGCGCACGCACACTTACCCTGCAAACATTTGCAGGAGACTCTGATAACGTATCGTGTTAGAATCGCTTTTAATTGCTCTACAAATTGCTAAGAGATGGAAAATAACAATAAAATGTTTTTCTGTCGCTTCTTTGTCGCCAAAGAAATCTGTCAATGCATTGGATTAAATTTAAACTACTACTAGGCATTTAACTTATTTCCACTTAAATTATTGCACTAAATTGAGTTCAATTGAAAGAAAATTAAATTCATGAGAAATTCCAATTAATTGTGTACATATTATTAGTCACGCAATAGATAATGCATAAAGCGAATTTAATATTTGGTATTCCTTTTTATGTTTTATACAATAAAAGCTTTTAGTATATTTTTTATTATGTGAACAAATTGAAAGTAATAAAACTTTTGATCACGTCTCTCTACCTCCATATTTGATTCTGAAAAAAATCAAATCCAAAAAAATCTAAGAAATTTAGAAACTAGGGGGATAAATTCTATATGTAATAAATGTGGGGTTCTCGGATTGGGGAAATTAGAATGAATTACAAACATAATTTTAAACTAAATTCAGGGTTTTATTATTTATCCATCCATTCCACTTTTTCCATTCGTCGCTGTTTAATCAACTTTTCAGAAGGTAGCTGATTCTTAATTATGTTTGCAGACCGATATTAAATCTTGATATAATTATGTATAAAATCGTATAATTGTATAATCCATATAGAGAATTAACTAACCTTACATTACCAATCTACTTCTGTGGCGTACAAAAATATTATTTTGATTTTACTCCGCTGTTAATTTTTGTACAGTTTGCAAAATCGTTAACGCATTTCCACTGCAGTTTGCAGTAAATAGACATGAGTAGATGAGTATATATGTATTGCTTATATCGCTGTTGCCAAATTTTGAGTTACATTGCTGCTCATAACTGCTGCACGCAATGACTAATTGCCATTTCGAAAGTCTTTTCTATCATATACAATAATTAATTAGTATTATTATTAACCACTGTTGAAAGGAATTTGGTGTAATTACTGTGTTAACTGTGAGCTATCGGACAAAACAAATGGACTTGGCACTCTTTTCTCAATTAGATGACTTGCAAACAAAACATTTACAGTCTGTTTGTTGACCTTTCCTTACATAAAGCAACTCTATAGAATAATTTTTGTTCTTATAATATACTCAACTGATGCGCAATTTTTTTTTAAGATAGAGTTAATTTTATATTATATATTTAAAATAATTTAATTAAATTTTGTCTACAAATTATTTGATTATTCGTACGTAAGACGTTAGAGAAAAACCAAATCTAGTTTGCATTTCCACTACACATTTATTATTGATCAAACATAATAATATTTTTACATTTCATGTTTCAGATTAATTGATATGTTGGGTGTAAAAAATACGCTTTGTTTGGCCGTGGTTGGTAGCTTAACATTTTTCAAAATACGACGCCATCATATGAGTTACCACAAAGCAGCTAAATAATTATTCGCTACTGTTTATTCGACCAGCTCGTCAGCTAGAGATGCCTTTAAAGCTACTTGGTATACGAAGTTTTTGAATAAGAGTTGATTTAAGGCGATGTGGCATCTGATGGTACATGCACGTATTTCTTTAGCACTGTGTGTGGGAGAGGGGCGGGGTGGAGGTAGGGATTGGGGAATTATAGAGCTAAGAAAAAACTTTGACACAATTTGTAGAACAAGCACAACAATTCATCAAATTCATTTGCCAAGTTAGCCAAGCCAAGGTGCCGAAACTCCACGTCCTTCTTCTCGCCATCGCCAACGTCCTTGTTGGTGGCATACAATATATTTGTAAGCATGTTGTTGTTGTGAGTATTGTTGTTGTTGTAGACTGCTCACTTGAGTTGCACCAACACCATGAAGTAAGTGACAACAGCTCCCAGCACCTGCACGACACAAAGGAACACGAAGAAACAGGAAAAGTTTTGTGAATGAGATAAATTGTAAACACGGCAGGCACGCCTGTGCTGGGGGGTTTGGGTTTGGTCGCCAAACTTACCGAGGCAAACAAATCCAGTGAAACGGTGAAGAATTTTGCACCCGATATGGTCATGGCTTTCTGGCACTGTTGACACACGATCTGCACAAAAGTTTTGGCCTCCTCGGAGCCATCGTACCAATGGCAGGAGTAAGCCGCCTCCATGACTGATGAGCTCTATATTTGGGCGCATGTATGTATGTATGTGTGTTTAATTTGTAGTTGTGAACAACTGTTAACTCACCTCCTCGATCAGACGATTGCCAAAGATGCAGAAATGGAACACCTGAGCCAGCGCATAGCCCAAATAGCCAATGACCGTAAATGCATAAACATTGACGCCATTGATTTTTGTTGCCTGATAGGCCAGAAGGGTCAGCTTGATGGTCGATGTCAACATGTGGAGTAGGAGGGCGGCTCCATAGGTGTCGCCAATGGCGGCTACCAGCCTGTAAAAACGCACAGTCCAATAACTTGACGAGCAATGGCAGATGCAATGGCTTTGATTTGCCCAACAGAATGGTTGTGCGCTCGATTTGCCAGCGATAACTCAATTGCCAGACGGTCGGCAACAACAGTAAAAATAATTTAAAAACTAACAAAGCAATTTGCTAGTCCACAAGGACCAACAAGCTCAACATCAACATCAACTGCAACGGCAACAGCTGAAGCCGAAGGCAGATCCCAAGTCAAGCAACTCCTACATAAGGCAGCATACGAACTACGAGGGCGAACTAATAAGTAAGTCGGCCTTCACAAGTTTTCGGTTCACATAATTGAGCAGCTTTACAGAAGGTATAGGTAACTGGTAACAAATAATCGTAGAGCTCGGCAGAATGCTGTACCAACAACCTCACTTAAGACGTAAGCTTAGGTGCTAAAATATTTTTCGGTCTAGAAGTTTCCAGAGTTCTCAGTACAGCTCGTCTTTTCGGCGCTGAGTTAATAAATGATTCCACTGGAAAATCATATTATAAAGAAGTTCGCTTAAGAAATTTCAAAAGATAATTCTAAGAATAGTCTGTAGGAGGCATTTTATTTAGCATCACGAACAAATAAATGTAGCATTTGCTTTTCATTAATGCCACATCATTGAGCATTACAGAAGCAAAGATTAAATAAACTCCAAGCTAGCTTCGGTGCTCTATGTTGGAAATTATTCGTAATATCTTATTTTGGTGGCCATCTAAGATAACTGAATAATTTTAAGCTCTTAAGTAGAATGTTTTCCTTTTCAAGAAAATGTTTCTTTGGTAATGGGCCCAACCTCGCATGTTATCGAATAAATATATATGTATAGTATATACATACATATGAACAAACAAATTCAACGCAACATGCAATCATTCATGCAATACACACACACACACAAACAAATAAGCAGACTTCGATTGAAATTGAAAAGCGAACGGGAGAGTGCTCTTGAAAGGATGAAAATTGCTGAGCATGAAAAATTTACAGAGCGCAGACGGCAGATGAGAAAAAGGGTCGCAAAGGGGCGCAGAGTCAAACAAAAGGATGGGAGCTGGTCTCGTCTCTCAATTTGGATTTAAATTTCCGACATTGCCATAAAAAAGTCATCACTCACCGCACCACATGCTTGTGCCTCTCGACCCAATACTTGATGGCACTGCGCACCATCATTTCCTGTTTTTTGGTCAACCCGTTGGGATTAGCGCCATTGACGCCGTTACCGAAGCCGCCACCACCATTAGTGCCACCGTTGAAGGACTGCAGCGTGGATGGTGCTCGAAACTGTGCGCCCCAGTCCGCTTTAGTGCTGTAGACGCCGGACATGTCCATGTCAGTGCCAGGATCTTTCTCTGCGGAATGGAACGAGTGAGTTCAACAAAGTCTGTTCATTTTGGCTAAAACCGCACACTTACCCTCATTGTGTATGAGCTCTGATTTGGAATTGGCCGACAGTGAGCGGAACAAGGCGGCCGAGTTGGGTCGATAGGTGTCCAGCGAGGCAGACAGCTCCATTAGCGGCTTCATGATGCCCTTGAGATGCTGGAGCTGTTCGCAGGCGAAGATTAGCCAGGAGCAGAACATGACATCGCACAGGTTCGAGTGCACCATGGAGAAGAGCAGGTAATAGACTTGAAAGGCGAAGCTGATCATATAGAACATGCCCTTGCCGGCATCCCACGGATAGAAGGACTTGATGGGTAGACGTGGTATTTCAACCGTAATGCTGGAATTCGTTTCCTTATCGACCGCAAACTTTACGCTATCACCAAAGAAGGTAATGGTTGTCCAGGCTAAGTGAGAAGACGGCAAAAAAAAAGCTGCAGTGGGAGTGGGAAAGTATTGTGTTCAACTCACCTGTGGCTGAAGCAAAAGTCGTCAGCATTACCAGAAAGAAGAGCTTACGCATTTTGGCCAACGCAATCGAATGGTAACGAGCATCAGACTCCGCGAACAAAGGATGTGTGTTTACTTGATTCCAAATGTTCAGGGTTCTGTGCACAAAGTTCAATTAAACGTAAATCGTTTGATTAATGGCCCTGCACTCGGATAAAAATCCTAGCATTCATATTCGTTCTCAAGTCAGTTCAAGTTCGGACGCTGACATTAGTTGGATACGTGCAAGAATACTGGCTTCTTAAATAATACGCATTTCTTTCACATTCATAACTTGAAGAATATGCACGAAATAATTAAGTGGTGCAATCAATAAACAATAAAAAGCATGTTATATAAATTGTATCCTTAAAATTACACGTTGACTTTTATTTTTGATTAAAAAATAAAACTAAAAGCATAATCATTATTTTCTAAGTTTTATTTGTTTTTTCTCAAAAAAAATAATTATTGGTTAATTTTTAAAGTTACACTCAAAAATAATTAATAAATTTTTAGAGAATGAATAAAAATTAAAAAATATAGATAATTAGATACATAATTTTTAGAAAATGATATCTGCAAAGACCCCGCTTTCTCAAAGTTACTATAAGTGAATGATTTTTTTGTTTAAAAATAACAAAATAATCATTATTTGCAATCCCTGTTAAGTACATATATGTACTTGTATATTATCGCAAGTTTCGATTTGCTGTCCAAATTATCAGGGCTATTTATATATTTTCAAAATTGTTTTATTTTTATAAAAATTATAACATTTTCTAGTACTGGTATTATTAATGATGAATGACCTATTTATTCTACTTACTTGGCACATCAACTTTTGTCTCTATTTTAATTTAAGATCGATTCATTATACCTCTAACAGGACCTAACTTTAAACCGTATTTAAATACATTAATTGCTAAATGGTCTGCATTCGATTGCCTAGGAATGTGTAAAAAGTCGTTCTATTTTTCTCCAAGTGTCGGCTAAGACGGCAACAGTGAGGAGCTCGAGTAGCTGCCTTACATTTAATTTATTTGCAGCATCAATTAGACACCACCGCTTACCTATAAAAGCCCTTCTGACTCACAGCCAGATAAATGAATTTGGTGATGCAGTGCGTGAAGAAGAGTGTGGTTATGGTATTTCCAGATAGCTCGTTCACCTCCTCGGCATTCAGCGCCATGTTGACCAGAATGAAGCCAAACTGTAGGACAATGAGGAACAAGTGCACGGACGAGTAGATCTTCTTCATGAAGGCGCTTCCTCCGGTGAAATTATGCATGAACAGGCCGGAATATTTCATCGCCCGGATGTTGGGCATCAGATCGGCCACCAGGCCCGTGTATTTACTCGGCTGCATTGTCGTCATCTGCTTGGGGTAGGCAGAGAAAGCGGAATAAAAATACACGCAAACAAATAATAAAAGAAATCCGTGTGAAATTAATTGCTTTTTCATTTAATTAGCAATTATTGAAAATGGTTCTCATGGCTGTCGCTTCGTGTCGTTTTATTTGAGTGCAAAAAGTAGAGGTTGTCGATTTCTGCTGGCACAAACCACACAAACACATACATACATATGTGTCTGAATTAATGGATGTGGATTCAGATTTAAAGTGCATACATAATTATTTCTCAGCTTTAGGTTTAAATGAAGAAATATATATTAAAGGAGATGTCGAATAAATCGGCAATTACGTTACAAATGAGATATTGTGCGTTTATTAAATTAATTTTTTGTTTTTGTGTTTAGTTTATTTGTTTATCTGGTTCTTTTGTATGCATGTATTTGCTTCTTCATTTAGTTTAATAAGTTTATATATTTTATTTGAATATACTGCTTTCAGTGCTTTTAATTTCGTTATTTTGTTTATTTATCTCATTTGTTTTATAGGTATATTCGATATACATATATTATTATATAGCTTATTTTTTGCTTAATCTCTTTATATGTTTTTTTTTTAATTATCAGATTTCTATTATCTAATCCACCTTTATAAATTCAATGACTTTTCCTGAATATTATTTTATAGCTTTCTTAGATTTATTTTGTTTATTTGGTATTAATTATTTATTTCAAATATATTGGATTTCTGCACAATTTTTTTTGTATCGTTTTCTCAAGTGAAAAGTATAACTTTTAAGTTTCTAAATCTAAGCGAATAAAATAGATACCAAGAAATAATAAAGCGCTTATCCTCGATTTTAAAAATGAAAAGAAATTTTTATCAATTTTATCTTAAAAGCTGAGGCAATTTTCAGAAAAAACATATTTTTGTATAAGAATTCTCGTAGATTTTGATTGAAGTAACATTATATTTAAATAATATTTATTAACTTTGAACAATTTTTGTTTAAATTATTTGCCTTAAGAAGCCTATACTGTAATAAAGAGGTATGTATTTGCATAAATATATAAGAAAGACCTACTATTTGTAAATATATAAATTCATATCTCAATTCTAATTTAACTGCCTTTTAAGTTAAAGAGTTTTGGTTTTGTTATTATTTAATATTTCTGGCCTATTTTAGGTAATCTATTCTATTTCTTGAGGGGAAATTTGTTAAATAATTATTTAAGCTTAGTTTATTAAGTACCAGAATTCATCAATCAAAAAGAAGAATTCATCAAAAAATAATGTGTTCATGAAAAACAGTAAGAAAAAAAGCTCCTAAAAACTGTATTATAATGGAAATCCACTTTTGACTTGTCCATTCTGATTTTGTTAAAAAATTATGGTACTATTTATAAATTCTGCTATATTTATAATCCTATTAATCATATTCATATTCGGATATGAATCAAGAATATAAAAATGGTGAATTTTAATCCGGATTTATTTTTTGTTATATTTAAAAATGTTCAGAACGTTTACGCTTATAATGTTTTATATTTTTATTTATTTAATTTGTAATTTCAATTTACCTTGACAGTTGCTTTATACGCTATGTATTGTCAAATTTAATAGCTATTTAAAACACTTTTAAATACTCGGAGGCACAGTCCGCGCCTAGATCAACATTCTTGGGGAATGTGTGGTTTATTAATATTTTTTTGACAAACCAACAACACTACACAAAACCAACAGCTTAGAACTTTGTAAATGTTATTCAATTAGAGCCAGGCGCCGCAAAAAGAAGTGACTTGACTTGCCGCCTTCAAGTCGCCAACGTTAATGAAAACTGAAATCTTGAAACTTTGCCAGTTTTGTTGGAAATTGTTAGTCGAGCAGCAGTTATTATATGTTATACATATATATCCACATGTACAAGTATATAGTGTAGGGCGAGGACGTGTACTTTGAAGACGAAATTCCCACGCTATGGCCGACAACACCTTCGCTTTAAAAAGGCGGCCAAGTGCGCCACGGGCACGGACACGGATTCCAGTCAGGAGGTAGGCCAAGTACATAAAGCAAGGACACGTCCACTACAATACTCTATAAGCCTTTATGTGTGTGTGTGCGTGTGCCACTAAATTGTCGTTTTTAATGAAAATCTTTAGGCTCTATCGACTATGTACTTAGAACGGTGCATATGGAACTAAGTTCGATTAAAAATTCAATATTATCCATGCGATGTGCGCGTGTTCGTCACGAATGACAGCCACGAAATTCCCACAATTAGGCTTTACCAATACACACACAGAACGGCCAATGTGTGTGGCTTCTTGTTTTCGCCCTCTTGCCTTGCCCTAGCAAGCGACCTGAACTTGTACTCGTATTTGAGTTCGCCTTGTACACGCGGCGTATACGCATTGTGAAATGGTCTTGAGGGCCTTGCTCAACATCTGTAGCATCTGTGCGTGGCAAACTTATGCAAATTTTAAAAGCATTGATTATTTTGTATCACAATGTCTGTGCCCCTTTTGTGGTTTGCGCTCAGTGGCTGCCCTGCCCCCCAATTCTGTACAGTGTATGTATGTACGTATCGACCTTAAAGTGAACTCTTGAATCGCCAGCCAGCCTAGATGGATAGTGTACTGGGCCCAATGCACTCGTACTTAAATGGGTTAAGGTTTCAAATGCCGGGCATTAACATGTCAGCAATCCCTTCGAGACATTTATCCAAATGCGAAAAGTGCCTTCAAAGCACTCACTGGGGTGTTGTGTTGAGTTGTTTAACAAATGGAGTATCTAGTTGAAAGTGAAATGAGTGGTGAGATTGTGAGACGGACAGACAGACAGAAGGACAGACAGAATTGGGCAATAGATTAATGTGAATGATGCTGGCAAACGAAAAGGATAAAAAGAGAGCACTAATCCAAATCCCCGACCAATGTGTTGGACTTTACAGAAAAGTAGAGAAACTTAACTTTAAGAAATTGTCAATTTAAACAATTTTCTTTATTTAGGTAAAACAATTTTAAAAAGATGAACAAAAAAGATATGATGGTACTTTTTTATGATAAATATAAATTAATCATATACGTGTACTACATCAGATGATTAAAAAACGTGAGCATAAATACAGAATTCGGAATATTCTTTAAAAACTTTACGAATAAAATGTATTTATCTGTGGCTTGCTAAGCACATAAATCTTTCTGCGTATTTTTAGTTAATTATTTATGTTTAGTTAATCTTGATTTGTTAGTTGTGTTTTTTTATTGTTTGATATTTACTGATTTATTTGGTGCGCTTAAAAACAACTATTTAATCCTTACACTATATGTAGTATGTGTACATATTGACTTGCGTGATGCGTGATTTCCTGGACTATTTACCTCTGCATATCAGAATTATTTATTTCAAGAATAATGTAAAGAATAAACTGCATTTTATTGCATTTATTGTTTATTTTATTTTTTATTGTTTTATACATAACTAAATATGTTTTTACACCAATACAGGATAGAGCCATTGTTGTGCTGGACCTAAAAATCAAAGGAACAATACGATCCCATAATGCCCATTCAATACATGATAGGCGTTTATAATTATGTTTGCGGTAAGTACTATTCTAAAGATTAATTAATTCATTTGTTTTTTTTTTATATTATTGTATGTTAGTATTCATCCTAAATTGAAATCTTAATTTATAGCCAGAGAAACTAAAACCTTCATGCTTCAAAAAAATATTTATTGTGAAATCAACTGGGAACTTTTTAAATATTATTAATATTTAATGACGCAATAATGCCAATACTGTGTACTTTATGCATTTATGCCGAGCCTTGATGTTTTAAAGTCTTTCTTCGTTTTTGTTAAGAGTCTTGTTTTGTTTTAAAAAGAGTTCAAAAAATCATTCTAGTTTTTGATTTCAATTGCTTCATTATTTCTTGTTAGCAGTCCATCTTAAGAAAGAAGGCCATTTTTAATTTGTAATCATATGAAAAAGGAGCTTTTCAACCAAATAAAAAATTGTAAAAAATAGTAAGTAATATAACTAATTCTAATTAACAGATAAATATGTACTTAATAGGATAGATTCCAAGCAGGCAAGCTATGCCCCGTTTGTGGGATTTCCCCGGAGAGAGAGAGAGTTCTGTTGAAATTAGGCATAGTCAGATCAACGGAAAATAATAAGTTTTTGGTCCACAAAGAACAGAAAAGTTAGGTAGGCTTAAGGAGACAGAGCAGTCTACATCGCCAATAATAAGGTTGTGTTGAAAAAGTGGTTGCTAATGATGATAGATTTAGAGAAAACACAACCTAAGCCATTACCAGCATTTCTAGTCGTAACTGATTAAGTGAACATTTTGTTTCAACTTTATTGTTATCAAAATGCATTTTTTTTTTGAATTGTGTTTGCATTATTAATAGAGTAAGTTTGAATATCGATTATCCAGCTAGATATGCGTCACTTAAAGTAATGATACATTATATATAAACAAGTATATCCAAATATCGAACACACTGTGTTAAATAATTAAAAATGGCGAACAAAAATGAACAGACATGCTCTAATACAAGTATGCGGACCCATACACAAGTGGCTTAATAAGTTTAAAACACGTACATTAAATCCAGACAACATATAGTATGACTGTTGAACTGCAAATTTCGCAGCTCCCCCTCAACGTCCTATTCACATGCACAGAAGGATGCATATGTGCGGTCAGATGAGAGCAGATATATGAATGCTGCCTGCCCGCAGCTGAGTTTGCTCTTCAGATTGCAGCGGCAATGCACACACACACATCAATATATATGTATATACATATGTATATGCATCACATGCATTATTCAAATACTAAACACAAAACTAGGCAGCCACTATCGATAGTTTGGTTTGTTGGTTCGTTAGTTGCTTGCGCCAATTAATGCGTTCGATTTGAACGTGACCTGGCTTGTGTACACATATATGTATAGGTGTGCATGTATTTATCGGATTATTCAGTTATTTGGCCATTTGGTAATGCCTTTTGTTATTATTGATTGAACTTTTAATTGGCTCTGCACATGAACGGTCAGTTCCATATCCATGCATAGCTTACATATTTAAAACCAATGCCACAAAGCCTGCTAAAATGTTGGATAGAAAAAAGACATACTTATAATAGCGGGGTTTTTTTTTTATTTATACCTATTCTATTGTAAATGCAACAGCTGAAAATGTAATTAAAATGCTGTTCAGCAATTAGCTGTGGCTATCAAAAATGTACCAAAAAGCGGAATTAATTGCTGTGAACAAAGCGGTTGTCAGTGGTCGTAGATAATATTATATATTTACATTGGCATTTATTTAAATAGTGTTCGATTGCTTTTAGTGTTGCCTTTAAATTAAATATGTTTTGACTTCCGCCAACGCAAATTATTTTCAATGTGTTTAATTGTATAAATAAAAACTGTTTTAATTAAATACCTTTTAATTAACGTATTTGGCTGTGAATTAAATTTGTTCACTGCTTGGAAAGACAAACATTTTGTAAATATTTTGCATGCATTTTTCAATTCATAGCAAACTTTGTCAACCAGTTAGTGGCCTGTTAAGCTGTGGTGACCAAATTGTGGCTTATTTGCTTTGCTTTGTTAAAAACTTTTTATTAGACTGAGCCTAACTAACTAAAATTGCTTAGTAGTTTATAATTATATAGACTCCATTTTGGGCCTCCTTTTGTTTCTTTTTCGCTTTTTATTTATAAATAAGTGCATGCATTTAGTTTGATTTAAATTTCTATAGAAATCTCTTCCTGTTTGCGGTTATTTGCAGTATTAAAGTATGATAAATTGTAATACAAAAGTTATTTATCAAATCCTTATAAGGATCAGCAAGAAAGGAGCGCGAATAATGCCACTACAGGCTCAAAATTGTACGCCATTTTAAACAATGTTTAAGAGTTTATTTTTATTTTGTGGCACTATTCTGATCTAGTTTCTTAAAACACGAAAAGTTTGTACAAACAAAGATTTGAAAATATTTTGACTTTTCTTATTGGCTTTCTGGAGCCTTACATCAACAATCTTTTACTTTTTAGTCTGCCGAGAAAGTCGAAATGGAAAAAACACTAACTTACATTTACGCTCATTTAATACAAATACGTAAAGGAATACTTAAGTGGAATCCTTTCAACTTATTCGTCCTCATTTATAAATACAAATCGTATTTCAAGCATATCCAACAGATAAATGAATTATCAGCAATATTCCGATGACAAGCAAAACCAAATCGCCAACATGTGCTCAACAGGAAACAAGACGACAAACAGTGACAATAATAGAAACTGGAAAATCATAAAAATTATTTTATATAATCCATCAAATGGGCAATAAATTACGGAATCAATACACGCCGTTCGCGTACAGCATGTCGCACGTATGCCGCATGCCGCATCGGTCTATGCGCAATTTTTATTAAACCCAAAATTAGAAATCAATAGCACAGAAATCTGTTAAATGACAAACCTACACACACTATATATGTATGAAAAGGGACGCAAGGACGCACGTACAGACACACACGGACACACAGTCAACCGTGCGTGTGCCATTTTATGGCGCAATATCTGCGTGTGTGTGTGTGTGTGTACAAATACATACATCTGTATAAACTCGTAAGTGTAAGGCAAGCCAAGAATTATTTGGTCGCATAAAATCAGAAATTATAACCTACAGCAGCAGGCGATAGCGATAGCGACAGCGACAGTGGCAGTCAGCAAGCCACGTCTATATGTATGTATGTCTGTACATATCTTTGTGAATGTATGTGTATGGGTGAGTGCATGTACGTGTGTCGTTTGACGGTTGTCGTCTCCCGTCTGCTGGCTGTTAGGAAGCTGGCACGCAATCAAATTTATGGCCAAGCAGACTAAAAATGTTGCGCACAATGGCAAAAGTGAAAGTAAAAACAAAATAGAAAAATAGGTAAAAATAGTTGCACATCAACGAATTTGAAATATACTAAAAATTATAAATATATGTAGGTATAACATACATAAATTATTGCTGTATTGCTTTAATTATTAATGAAAAAAGTATAGCATACTTCTCAGCAGCCCGATGGGTGCATATTGTTAGTAAAGGTCTTCGTAGAATGGAAGCTTACTGCAGCAGGCGCTGACCCAATTGGGATTCCTATACATCGTTGCGTTCTTCCTTCCGTCCTTCTTTGCTCAACACACATAATCATTAATTTTCGTTTCTAAAAATACTCGAATTTGTTGACCCTATTATTCACAATTTCATTTAAAACAAATAATTTCTTTCCCTTAAATTATTTTTTAAAGTTTCTTAAGCGCGTTTAATCTTGAATAATTCTCCAGGAGCTTAACCAAAAATGAAAGAAGCAAAACCCCCATAGTTCTGATAAAGTTTAGAAAAATAAGATGAGCAGGTATTTCAAAATCTTAATAATATGAGCATTATTTGAAAAAGAATTTAGAGAAAAATTGACCAATATGTATTTAAACACCTTGTTTCATATTTTGGAAACTTTTTAATAGTAATGACCTATAAAATAGAATAGGACCATAATCAGAAAATATTGCCGTCAAGCGTAGAATATACAAAAATTAACTAAAACATGATCATCCTTTTATGACTTCTCAGAATACAATTTTACTCTTTATGTGCAGTGTATATCGTAAAAATGGTTTCACGCTGATTGAAAATACATACATACATATAAACAAACACGTTGAGATGAGCTGTTAGTCCAAGAATTACAAATATATACATTATTTACTATATGGGTGCCGTGTCTTGTCATCAAGGCGATCTACAAAAGAAATGTTGACATTGTCATGAGCAGAAAAAGAATATGCGAGACATATCCGAAAAATGGCGTAAAAAGCACAAAATTTATTATTATTTATGTTTATGCGTCATGGTGTGAAGAGTGGTGAGGCGTGCCGGGAGGGGTTAAAGTGAAAGATTTCTCAAAACAGCATAACAACCCAAAGCCATAAATTGTCTGCACGAGAACGCTCTCGTCTATGTGTGTGTATGTGTGTGTGTGTGTCACTCCTTTTGTTGTCGCTGACACGCAGACCGGAAGTCGACGCCGTCGCCATGGCTCCTGCCACCGCCTCTGCCCTCAGCACCACACCGAGACAGTGTCAAAAGTTTAACGTTAAATTTATATGCTCTTCGTTGTTGTTGCTGTTGTTATTGTTATTGTGCTTCCTATTTTGGTTGAAGCTCCCACGCAGCGCCACAGAATTCACTATCTACAAATAGCATAAATTTTGTCAGTCTCTGTGGGTATGTGTGTGTGCGAGTATGTGCATGTGTGTGTAAGCAGGTCAATGCTTATGCCGATGCTTGGCCAACTTCTTAACAAAGAAGCTGAGCTGATGGCGCATTGCACATACGCCCTGTATTGTCAACATATTTGACCGCATCTTTTGTTTGCGACTCGCTCTACATGTGCGTATGTGCGTGCATGCGTGCGTGTATGTGAGTGAGCCACACAGTTGTCCACACGACAACGGCAACTAAACTCTTCTTTGTATTTGGCTTGCCTATATAAGTGGGCTGTGGAAGCAAGCCGCTTTCTCGTTGTTCGAAATTCGAAGTTGTTGTGTCGAACACTGCGCAGCGGCACTCTCGTGAGAGTTTCAGCACGTAGAAGAGAACAAGTATAAGAGCGGCGAGACAACAACTTTAGGTGTTGCCAGAATGTTTCGAATAGCCTTAAACGATTAAATAGCTTCAGAGTTGAGTAGGAGCGGGAATAAAAAAATTAAATTAAGGGATTATTCATTGATGATAAAAATAATAAAAACAAAATACTGTTAATTTTTTAAATGCATAAATATCTCCTCGCAACTATAAAATCTGTTCGTTTACATTTATTTTGCATAAGTTTTTTTTAATAAACCTATCGTTCAATTATATTAGAATTAACCATCTGTTTCAACATTATTTTATTAGTATACCAATACAACGTAAATTAAATACATATATTTTACGCCATTGCGTATTAAAATTTAGTTAATCTTAATTGTTGTATCACAAAATAGACTTTTAAGTTATATTTTCAAGCTAGTCTTTGTGATTTCTTCATTGGATACCATTACAACTTTTTTCTTCTTATATATATATTTTTTGCAGTGTATTTTTAAAATAAACCTTATATGGATGATAAGTAAGACTAAGGTGAATTTTGTCGCAACCCATTTCTTTTATTTGTTAATTTTTTTATGGTGTGGTAGAATTGCCCTAACTCCGATTTTTAATTTTATTGTAATTTTCATAAGCTTTTAATCTTTTATTTCATAAAATTTCTTTAAATAAATCTTAATTAAAGTAAAGTTAATGTAAATATACATACTTGTACAATACAAAACGTATTGCTAGTATGTTTAATAAAGTTTTTGCGAACATTTGAAACTATCTGGCAACGCTCTTTTATCAATTTAAGCCCTTCTCCAACCATTGCAGCCTAACTGTTGTGTCCCAGTAAGGAAAACAAAAAAGCATAACGGCCTCAAAATGCAACATGGGAGTTCTTATGCTCCGGAGCTCGTCCTCAGTCTCGCTCGCGCTCTCGCAGCCAAAGACACTCGCTCACAAGAACAACAGCAACAGCAACAACGAGAGCAAGAACGATAGCCAGCGCAGCAGCTGTTATAAGATCTCGAAACGACTCGTGCACGAGGCGATGACGCCGACAGCGACGACGACTGCGAGGCAACAGCAGAGCGCACATTGCAGAAAACATGCCAAATAAGTTCGATTTGAATTCAGTCAAAAATGGTCCATCGACGTGACATGAACAGCATCCCGGCCATTTGGCAGTTGTGTGTGTGTGCTATGCAAACCGTTTGCGCGTGTGTGTGCGTCTTCAAATGAAGAACAGAGAGCAGCTACAACAATACCAACAACAACCATAACAACAACTACGAAGCCAGCCAAACCAAACCAAACCAAATGTGAAGTGTGGCCAAGCCAAAGCAAAGTGAGTGCCCGTGTTCCTGTCGGTGTGCGTGCTGTTGTGTGTCTATGGCTGTGTAGGTGTGTGTGTGTGTGTGTGACAACGACAAATGTCCATAATGTTCTTTGGCTCTGCTGCTGCTGCTGCTGCTGCTGTTGGCTCTTTTGGTTCTGCTGCTTGTTTTTTTTTTGTTTTCTCCTCACTCCGCACTTCAGTTATTGTTGCTGCTGCTGCTGCTTGTTAGTGTTAAAAGCACGCAGCGTGAGTGCGCCAAAATAGAAGAAAGTGTTGCTGGGTAAAAAATAAAATAGAAAACTGCGACAATAACAAATATATACATAGATATATATATCGAAGAAAATGTGCCAAATCACCCACCAGCAACAACAGCAAGCAAACCAAAGCAAAAGAAATGCCATTTGAATAGTTAAGTAAGGAAAAAAAGAAGGAAAAAAGTTGCTCGCCTGTGTGTCTCGGCCTTTACGCGTGTGTGTGTGTGGATTTATGCAGCGTTAGTTACATAAGTTATCATCAACATCGCCGAAGTAGAGAGCGGAGGCGGCAACGCACAAAAGTATGCTACGCTTGGGTCTCAGCTGCCTCTGATAAGCAACCAGAAATATTACATATGTATGTACATATATGTATGTATGTACATATGTACTATTAGAGGCAACCCAAACGACAATTTCTGTGCAATCTGTGTCCTTTCTTAGTTGTTCAACAAGCCCATCACCCAGGCAACCATTGTTGGGGGAAAGTGTATGAAATTCTTGCTCATTAATAACGCATACGCACTGTTGGACTAACTGGTTGAGCGCTTTTATGTTCCAAGAAGTGTTATTAGCTTGTATAATGCTTGTCCAAGCTGGTAATGGCAATGGCAAATTTTGTTGCATATTCTAGAAATAGCGTCAACACTTCTCCAGTGCCACGACACTGCTGCAAATTTAATGTGAAATTCTCACTTCATTTAAATTTGTAAACATTTAAATTTCATTATTAAGTAACCGCATTTAGTTCCACTTGAGCGAACTTAATTTAAAAATGTACTTACATGTGGAATGACATTTGAAGTCTCAAATTCGTCTGAAATTCTTGCCAAATTCTGTTAAGAGCAGGAATGCATGAATTTAAAATTAAAATGAGGCACTCATATCACAAAGTTATTGTGTTATTCTAAGCATGTAGTGCTAATATACTTGTATGCTTGAATATGGTATTTGAGTATTTTATATTTAATATAATAAAAGAAACAAGTTAATTAAGAGCAGTTACAGAATTTAGATGTGTTAGTATTTCAGCAACAGACGGAACTAATGGTTTTATGTGTTGCGTTTCTGCAATTCTTAGAAAGCAAAGACTAAGCTAATAGTATATAATAGACTACAATTACATAACTTAAAATAATAACTCAGTGTAATTACATATTATTGGATAACTCTAACAAGTCAGAGCAAAGACCTTGTTATAAGTAAATTGTTTTGAGGTTTTTGTTTTATTCAGTTTTAATAGCTAGATATTTTACATCATTATTCCATTTTACTATTAACTATGCATTCAAGAAAATATATATCGTGTGCGTTTTACAAAATTTGGATTCCATTTTGAATAAAATGAGTGTCAGAAAAGGCAGACATGGAAAATGAAAAGATAGTCCAAGAGCAAATAAATGTTCCATTTAGTACAAAATATGCGAAAGGCTAACACATTTTTAATTTGATTTAAGAATTATTAGAGAAAAAGATCTTAGAAACTTCATTTGCAGTTTTTCTTTGAAACTATTTTCTTCCTTACCTTCTTATTCACCTGAAAGAATTTAAAATGAAGTTGAATTTGTTTTTCTAGTTCTTTAAGTTCGTTGTAGCTAAAGGCGTTTCATTGTTTACTGAGCTGAAAAGAATGAAAGCCTTAAAATATATTGAGTTGCTTTTAACTTTTGAACTCATTAAACAGCTGCCGTGCACCTTAACAAGCCGCTTCCCATATGCCATACACACACACACACACACACTCAAATACACACACCACCACCACCACAGACACTGTGGCACGATTCTGCTGCTCTAAGCAGCCAGCCAACCGTGCAATTTCCATTGGTGTTACATTTTAATTTTTCTCATATACACACGCACACATACTGAGGCACAACTTTGGCGAGCTCATTAAAAACAACAACAAAAGCCAGCTGAGCTAAAAAACTTTGTTGGCAAATCAGCAGTAGGCGAAGAGGCGGACCAGAACTTAAGGCAAGCCAACACTGACTGAGACTGAGTCTGATTCTGAGTCTGACTGACTGACAGACTGACGAGCTCAGCATGGTGCTGACGCAGCTGCCAGAGCGTAACGACATTATCAGGAGCGTGGGCGGGGGAGCGAAAGCACCAAACAAATTAAGTAGGAAAGAACATACAGACAGGAATGTGGCAGCAGCTTGGGTTAAAGATAAGATATTGAAGGTGCTGTCGGCAAGCGCTTGATAAATGTGTGCTCAATTTTGCATGCACATGCTATGAGCATATAAGTGGGTGTATGTATTGCGGGTGTCTGCGTGTGTATGTGTGTGTGTTAATTAGCCATACAACTGCTTACAGGCAAACAGAAACACACTTATAACAAATTTTGTTTATTTTGCTTGGCCTTTAAAATTCATTTCAATTGCGCAGCTGTTGAGAGAAGAAGAAGAACAATAACACAAGCAACAGCAGAAAGAACAACAACCACAAAGCCATACCAATTTTGGCAATTGTTTCGCAAAACCAACCAAAACTATGTGCGCGGCATGTAAAATGAAAATTTCATTTGCCCGCAAATATATGCTACTAAAATTTATATGCCTTTAAACGAATAATTTCGGGCCGGCTAGGTAGTGGATGGGGATGGGGATGGGTAGCGAGAAGAGGGTGCGAGTGCAAGAGCCAACCGCAATTAAATTATAATTAAATTTTCGTTAGCCCACGAAAAACACTTTTAAGCTGGCGTGCCACAATTCAGTTTTCGGCTTAAAAAGCGTTAAGGGAAAAATTTGCGCAACACTGATTCTTGGAGCTTGTGAGAATTAAATTAGGTCTAGCTAATTAAGCACTTGGCCAATTTTTTGGTTGCTAACAAATTTAAGTCAAAGAAGCATACAAGAAGCTAACAGTGCATTGTCACGCACACACAGATTCTTAAAAAGTATAAAACAAGCAAACAAAAAAAAAGGGACACACAAAGCTTGCCTTTAAAAATGCCATAAAAACGTGTTAAAACAACAAAGAAAGAAACAAACTTCAATGCTAAAGGTTGGTAGCGTGTGTACCATTTTCTTGCTAAAATATAAAGAAATATGTTGGCAGGGACTAGGCTAAGAAACACAACAACACGTACAACAATAACAAAAACAATAACAGCTGTACTAACAACAATAAAGCAGCAATTTCTGTGGCCAACACATAAAACATAAGCAACAACAAAAGCAAAACTACGAATAAAAGCAAAACAGGACTCGCAATAACAAACAACAGTAAGGCAACAACGTCGACGAGCAAAGCAACAGCAACAACCAAAACAACATCAGCAACAACAACAACAGGCAAACATAAAATAATGGGAAGATCGTAAAAAGTGCGGGAAGCAAAAAATAAATAAACAAAAATAGACGATACAGAAAAACGAAAATCATAATGATGATGGATTAACTGTTTTGTATTGTCCGTGTGTTGGTGTGTGTGTGTGTGTGTGCGTGCGTGTTTGTGTATGTGCGGGCGCGCGTGCCAATTGCAAAGTGTTGGACGTTGTACGTTGCTCGTACATATGTGTGTGTGCGAATGCGTGTGCGAGGGCGAGTGGCAAGCGGAAGTGGAACTCGCAGTGCAGCACAAAGTGGTGAAGGCAGCAGAAAAAGCAACAAACACAACAACAACAACTGCAAAGCAACTACTAAAGCACTAACAACAAAGCGGACATCAACAGCAACAGCAACAGCAGCAACAACAAAATCAACAGCTTCAGCTCCACAAAAAAAAGGTTAGTAGAACTCAACTCTGCACTCAACTTGTTTTAGTGCTGAGTTTTGTTTTGTCTTATTTTCGTTATTCGTTTCAATGCTTTGTTGTTTGTATCATGGACTATGTTTTGTTTCTTTTTTCTTTTGGTTGCTCCTGTATTATATCGTTCGGGTGGTTGTGGTCGTACGTGCATGCGGCTGAGCGCACTTCATGAAATCATTATTTATGCATTAATTATTAAAATGCGACCGACAACAACAGCAACAGCTAGCAACAAGAGCTAAACGTGGACGACAAGTGTGAGCGATAATCATTAATCTTGTATGCACATATGTGTGTGCGTTTGTGCGGTTGTGCCGCTGTCCAATTTTGCTTGTAATGCGGAAATGTGGGAATATGTTGTATATTATGAAGAGAACATATTCGGCAACAATGTGGAGTGCCACAAAAAAGGAAATGAAAGACAACAACATAAAAAAAAGAATTATGATGCGTGGGTTACAAGTATTGGCATTCCTATTTATTTATTAAGTCAACAAAAATGGCTGTTGATGTTGGGAAAAATGACAGAACGACGTAAACAAATAGATGGGGTAACAAAATAAATAAATCAAAAATGAATCAGAATAATAAATAGAGTAATGGCTTTGTGTGTGTTCGTGCGATATATAAATACAATTAATTACTCATTTTTCGTAAATATTTATTATTTTAGTAAATCCATAAGTTTTTTTTTGCATATAATACTGCTGTTTTTACTATTATACGTGTACCATTCCTCCTTCTTTAAACATATCGGAAGTCAGTCGACCATTGCTTCAAAATTATAAATTGTTTTTATTTATATTTCAGTTCAATAAATTCCGAAGCACCCTTTTTATTTATTACCAAGTAAATTTAACCGCAATAATATTTGTGTAAATATTTAAAACAATTTTGTGAACATATAAATTGTATTTTCGAAAGAAAGTGACATTGGAAGTTTTTAAAATTTATCCTTTTTTGTTTTCATAAGTATATTGAAATTACTTTTCA